TTTTTTTTTTTTTTTTATCTTCAATGACAGTAAAATGGCCTACAGAATATATGGAAAGTCCTTTTGCTTGTGTACAGTACGGATACCTCCTGGCACATTACGCTTCACCCGACACAGGTATACCTCATCTCAGGTATACTTCGGTATCAAATACCAATTCCAAGTCCCACCGCGGGTACAAATTACAGTCACAGGTGCGTGTACCGACGGTACGATATGTATTGTACCCGGCACGACGGCTTTAGCTTCATAAAGTAGATAGCTCGATAAGTAGCTTTGATGGCAACATTATACGGTAGACAGTCTGACTGCTGCTTAGAATCCTATGTAGTGCCTGCCGGTAGGCAGGTATGTATTTATTCGCACACTACCTTTTCATTCACCCCATCCGACAATGGTCTCATTCTACCCTGGTACTTTGCCAGGTAAGGTAAGGTGGGGGGTATGGAGGTACCTAGGTGGGTAGATGGCGAAAAGGTGAGATGCGTAGGATGGATCGTTTGGGCCTATGTTGAGACGCCGTTTCTAACCACCATCTCCAATCCACCGTTCTTGTTGTGCGTGTGGCCATCACAGGCACGGTCATCGTCGTCGTCCTCATTTTCTGTCGCCGGTATGGAATTGTACCCTCCGACGAGACCACTCTGCGGCGGCACAAACTGTCTCAGACCGACGCCGGCCTCGCTCAGGACCCGTCGACTCGCTTCGTCCATGTTGTACGTCTGGCTGTAGACGACCTCCTTGACGCCGACCTGGGCGATCTTGACGCTGCACGTCAGGCACGGGCACGTGTCGCAGTACAGGATGCAGCCTTCGCGGATGCGTTCGCGGCCGGCCTCCAGGAGCGCGTTCTCCTCGGCGTGCAGACACAGGCAGGTCGAGAGGGCCGACCCGCCTGTCGACGCCGAGTTGCATCGCGCGCAGCCCCCTTCGTTGCAGTTCCGCAGGTTGCGCGGCGTGCCGTTGTACCCTGTCGAGATTATGCGGGAGTTGTGCACGAGCACACAGCCCACGCGGCGTTTCATGCAGTTGGACCGTCGGGACGCGAGGTGTGCTAAGGTCATGAACTGCGCGCGAGAGAAACATGAACTCGTCAGTAAGAGAAGAGAAGAAACGAGGAGGGGAAATATGAATGAAAGAATAAATAAACTCTTGTGTGATTGAGGAAGGGAAAACAAGTGCCTTATCAAACCTAGGGGAAGAAGAGAGGAGTTTGATGATCGAAGTAGGTGAGGGAAAAGTAACAATGAAAAAAAACAAAAACACTTACGTATGCGTCCCAAGTTGGACGAAGACGGTCGGGAGATGGGAGGTCGAGTGTCGAGAGAAACGTGTAGTAGCTTCTGATGCTCGAGTGGATGTTGACGAGATGGAGGTGCGATCGCGATGTGAGGTGGATTATTCCAGAGGTGAAACCTGACGGTGAAGGGGTTCCAGGGGAATCTGCAGGAACAGAAGCGTGGTGATTTTGAGTCCCGTATAGCTGGAGATCGTTGTAGTGGATGAAGTCGGTTAATGGAAGAGGGTCAAGTCGTCGCTGGTGGCAGCTATACAACCACACACAAAGTCCACGTTAGTTTTGAGACTCTCACTTGGTTCTAGGAGAAGGGGAAACAAAACAGAGGAAGTATGCATAGATAGACATATGGTTTCATTTGGTGAGCTGGTAGAAATGCAGCAAAGACATACCGTTCACTGAATCGCTGGTATCTCACTCCCACGGGCGCTTCGACATTGAGTAGCATGAAAAATGGTCGCCTCAGTAATAGCTCCAGCGTGGCTTCGTCGTAAATGTCCGTCAGAACCCAATGTTCCCGCCATCGTTTGGTCACAAATTCCAAGAGGCTGTCGACATCAGGGAAAGTCAAGCCTCGTGTCCCCTTTTGATCTGTGACACTCGGGAGGAGATGTGCAAAAGGCTCGTCTCTCGAGTGGTCACTGCCATTTGTGGTTGATAGGTGTTGGGCTATGACAGGCTGTAGTTGAGATGGCGTGGGCAGATGCAGGCGTAGAAATCCATGGTGTTGAACTAGATATTCTGCCGTTGTGTGCTTGCCGGAGCAGATTGGGCCCGTGATACCGATCAGCATCTCTGAGGTTGTCAGTGAGAATGGGTCTAGATTCGAATTCCCATAAGAATGTGAGAATGTCTGGTCTGGGACAGGACAGAGTTGTTGCTGCTCGTTTCACACTTTCTTCTACACACAGCACAACAGTCGGTGTAGTGGCCCCTGGTCGGGAGAGGCTGTTGCTGTCGACGCGACACGCGTAAAGTGTCATTTGACTCGACAATTGCCGTAATTACATAAGTCAAATGACATTACTCATTCGTGCCTCGTGTTTAGTTCCTCCGCAGTGCCACCCACGATACATGACCAGGATCAGGACCTCACATCATCACATACTCGGCGCATCTGACCTCTGAGGTGCCTAGTCTAGTCGCATGGCAGCCTTGTTTTATTGACCAAGCCACATTCGCCCTTCTTCCCTCTGCTCTCTTGATACAGAGACTAAACCAGTATTCTCGTCTCACAACACCTGAACCACCACCACCACAGCAACAGCCCCCATATCATCCTCTCGGAGCGCCTTTCCGAGATGCAGTACGTCCCTTTCGCCTCCGACATTGAGATTGCCTTCTACGCTTCTTTGGCCTCGCACAAAATCAACCATGACAAACTCGACGACTCGGCCCGGAAAGTGCTGGGCCTCTACGAGATTCGCCCCGCCGACTCCAAAGAGCACTCATGTCGAATGCAGGTCCACGCCAACGCTCTAACAAGCGATGAAGTCCCGCCAGGCTACTATCGCGGCGAAGGCATGATCAAGAACGTCAACACGATCGAAGAGTATCGCAACATCGACAAACCTCAAATGATCCAGAAGGCCGGGAAGACGATCTGGGACGCTATCAACGATGGAACTATCTACTCGTGCCCATCGCTACTCGCCTCGTTCCTCATCCTGTCATTCGCTGACCTCAAAAAGTACAAATTCAATTACTGGTTCGCCTTCCCGGCGCTGGTCATGGACCCGCCATGGACTCCTGTCGAACACCAAGGCGCTGTCCCCCAACCAAAAGGCAGTTTTCCGTACACGAAGCTAAACCCCCTTGAGAGCAGCAGTCTGGTCGATGCCGTCACGGATTGGCGATTTGGGGTCGACTCCCGCCAGTTTGGCTTCTTCCTTGCAAAGAGGGACCGTGGCTACGAGCCGTCAAGTCTCGAGAATGACGAATTCGGGCCTACTACTCCTCAGTCACCCGAGACACCCAGCACGAGACTCGGATGTCGATGGCAGATTGCATCGCTATCGAGTTTCGAGTCTGGATTCTTCAACAACACCACCCCCGAAGACCAGTACGTTTGCTTCGCAGACCCTTCGAACTACACTGAACCAGGTCCTGTCGCGCCGGGGTGGATGCTCCGCAATCTTCTCGTTCTAGTCCGTCAGCGCTGGAAGTTGTCAAAAGTCCAGATCCTATGCTACCGCGAAATCCCCTCGCGACCAGACGCGGCCCGCAGCGTTGTTTTCACCATGGAAATTTCCAAACAGGCAAAGTCGACGGCACAGTCTGAATCTGCCGAGTCCGTCATGCCGAAAGTAGTGGGTTGGGAACGCAACGCGTCCAACAAACTCACGGGCCGCATGGCAGATTTGACCGAGTACATGGACCCCAAGAAACTGGCCGACTCGAGCGTCGACCTGAACCTGAAACTCATGAAATGGCGCATCAGCCCCAATCTCAACCTTGACAAGATCAAGGAAACGAAATGCCTCCTGCTCGGCGCGGGGACGCTGGGAAGCTACGTATCCCGGAACCTGATGGGCTGGGGCGTGCGCAAAATCACCTTTGTCGACAACGGCAGCGTGTCCTTTTCGAACCCGGTGCGCCAGCCACTCTTCAATTTTGAGGACTGTCTCGAGGGCGGCAAGAAGAAGGCCCTCAGCGCAGCGGAAGCGTTGCAGAAAATATACCCCGGCGTCGAGAGCAAAGGGTACGTGCTGTCTGTTCCGATGGCCGGACACCCGACGACGGACCCGGCAAAGTCCAAGGCGGACTTTGAGCAACTGAAGCAGCTCATCGACGAGCACGACGTCATCTTTCTCCTCATGGACACTCGTGAGTCGCGCTGGCTACCCACCGTCATGGGCAAGGCGAGCGGGAAGATCGTCATGAACGCCGCGCTGGGCTTTGACACGTACGTGGTCATGAGACATGGCGTCGTCGCATCATCATCACCCACCACCACAGGTACCGGCAACGGCGGCGGGACCGCAGATCGAGAAGCCTTGGGTTGCTACTTCTGCAACGACGTCGTCGCCCCCGCCGACTCGATGAAAGACCAGACCCTCGACCAACAGTGCACCGTCACGCGGCCGGGCATTGCGGCCATCGCGTCGGCGCTGCTCGTCGAGCTTCTCGTCTCGGTCCTGCAGCACCCCGACGGCGCCGCGGCGCCGGCGTCCCTCTCGGCCTCGGAGGACCGGGGGACGCACCCCCTCGGTCTGGTGCCGCATCAGATCCGCGGGTTCCTGTCGACGTTCACGAGCATGAACATCGCAGGTCGCGCGTACGACTGCTGCAGTGCGTGCTCGCCGAAGATCCTCGACGCGTACGCCGCGGACGGGTGGGACTTTGTGCTCAAGGCGCTGAACGAGAAGGACTACGTCGAGGAGTTGAGCGGCTTGAAAGAGGTCCAGAGGGCCGCCGAGGCCGCCGCGGCCGACATGGAGTTTAGCAGCGAAGACGAGATTGCAGGTGACGATGACGAGGGTGAATTGATATGAGATTTTTTTTAAAACAAAAACGCAACAACATCGAACAATGAGGGGGGAAAGAAAGGAGAGAAAGGATTGTCTCCAAAGAGGGAAGTGAGGAGTGAAGAGTGAGGATGAGCGAGGAACAGTACGCATGGATGGGTGGAGTATATACAGGTGCAAATTTCTGGACATGGCTGTCTTTTCACTCGGTGTTGGATATTTGGTTGATTGGGTACCTACCTTGATTGAGATGAATCTAGGTACTGTTCTGTTCGCTGGCAGCAGCCTGCCAGCAATGATATCTTTCGTTACGTGATGTTATGTATGTGTATGTCTCTCTCTTTCTCTCACACTCACACACATGGGCAACCACACCCATTGCCGTGGACTACGGCTTTGCCCCCTCCGCAGATCCTCCTATATACACCCACTCGCGTGTGAGCGCAGGAGTTGTCAAGAGGAAGTAGACCATGCATCGTAAAGCGTACTAGCCGGGTAGGATCCTTTGAACCCTGACTTCCACAAGGATGATCTCTTCCCTAGGGCCCTGCAAACACAGCGTCCTTATCGACCTTGGCGAGCCTCTTGACGCCAACAAAGTATGCCTCTTTAGACTGGCTCCTCGAACTCTCGGGCTTCTCGCGATGCACCTTGTGGAACATGGCCTTGAGGCTCTTCTCGAGCGCCTTGTCCTCGGCGCCCTGGTAGAACTTGCAGACGAAGTGTCCGCCGACCTTGAGCGTCTCGTAGCTGAACTGTAACGCGGCCCTACAGAGATCCTAGTACCAAGCCAAATGAGTATCAGCGTCAAAGGGGAAGGAAAGCGAGAGGAATAAGGATCATGAAAACATACCATACTGCCGGCGTGATCTCGGAATGCATTCCCACTTGTATTCATCAACCTGTAATACGGGTTACTGATGCTCTTCTTGTACAGACCGTCCAGCGGATCCCAGGGTTCGCACATGTCGCTCAACACCACGTCGACGCACTTGTCTCGGTGGGCCTCATCTTGTTCCAGCGCTTCCGCCTCTTCAGCCGCGGCCGCAGCAGCCACCTGGCTTTCTCTCTCCAGGTAGCCCTTCTCGGCATCGTCAAGGACGGCGGATCGGTCCATCTGTCCATCGGGCGTATCGAATATGAGTGGTGAATGGCGCAGACGCCCGCGGTCAGGGTCTCTGAGGAACAACTTGATCTCGCCTTGCACGTACGGGGAAAGAAAGTCGCCTTGGATCGTAGAGACGCCTTTGGGTGGCTGCACGGGGATGAGGTCCACGCCCAACACCCGCCCCCGAGGTTTGGTCAGGTCGATTGCAACCTATACATTACAGACACGGAGATGGATCAGCGCCGTCAACTTGCACACCGAGGTCGGTTTGTCTCTCTCTTGCACGGCTTGTGGCGCCGGCCGTCGAGCGCTTCATACCTGACTCCAACTCCCCGGCGCAAAGCCCAGGTCCACCACGGTCATCCCGGGTTTGAACAATCGATACCGGTCATTGATCTGGAGCAGCTTGAATGCCGCTCGACTCTTGAGGCCCTGGACTTTCGCCGCGCGGGCGAACTGGTCCCCTCGTTGTCGATCAGTCCACCGCCTCGAGGACGAATACTGTGCGCTGCTCGTTGAGATTGAGCGCGAGAAGCGTATATGTGACGTGGAAGCTGAGGATGTAGGACCAACATGCAATGAGATAGAGCCTTTCGAGAGGGGACATGGTTGCGTAGTTGGTAGCAGACGGAGGAGCGAGTGTACTCGTCGTAGGTATGGTTCGGTGCTTGCGAGAGAGCGGAGTGCGAAGTGGTGGTTACATGGTTGCATAGCCTGCTCTGCCTGCAAAGTCAGACAGAGCCTGTGAGTGTAAGGAACCAAGTCACGGAGAAGGACAAAAGCAACGAGTACATCAACAAGGGAGGTGAGTGAGTGTACTGTATTGTATGTCTGGGGAGTGCTATCCGGTCCATGATACAACAATTTTCTAAGGCACATGTGCACCGGAGGGCGGTTAAAGCGGCCGGCGGATCTAAGATGCCTAATTGGGCCAACACTGGCCTTTTGATCAACCAGCATCTCGATAGTCGATGGAATACGGAGTATATACTCGACAGGCTCCCCCGCGGTTCTCTACATTCCTCTTTTCTATTCCTCTTTCTATCATCAGGCACATTTATACGTCAGATCTCTTGTTAATATACGGATACGAACCCGGGATATTCGCTGATGGTTGGCTTCACACATTACAATCCGTCTGTAAGGAAAGGAGGTTTACTTGGTATTCATACAATGTTAATCATCATGACCCTGGTATTTATGGGAGAGAAATGTACATAATCAATCCTCTCGACGAGCGTTCCTTGTTCACCTCACATCGCTGACAAGCTAGCACTTTTATCCAAGAGAATCAAAACAGAGAGGTCACCTTGCAGGCCTCATCATATGGCGACACTTGCAGCTCTTCGATCCCTCTTAAGAGGCGAAAATTCTGCCAGCGACTTTGGTTTCCCGACTGGATTTGCCTTGAGATTAACCCGTCCAAGAATGCTGGTATTACCAGAACCTCCTCTTCCAAGATCTCTAACCTTTTGTGTCGGGGCGGATTCTTCCTCCTCATCAAAGATGTTAGCCCGCTTTTTCGGCGCTTTGGACTTTTTCAAAAGTTCCGGGGCGTCATCGTTGGTCGATTGGGTGCCTTCTATGCTCTCGACGACGTCTTTATCCGCAGAGTCCTCTGAAACGATTCCCGGTTCAACTGCGTCGTTTTCCACGTCAGAGTCTTCTTCGATCAACTTGGCCAATTGTGGCCTCTTCATCGTCGTATTTGCTCTTGCATTGGTGCTTTCTTTGAGTGCACCTAACGTCTTGGTCTTTCCCGTAGAAGCAGCAGATTGCTTCCTCGAAGAACCAGGCTTTTCCTTCGGCTTGACTGCTTTTGTTTTTGGTGCTGCTCGTGACTTTGCAGCTGCGTTGTTCGTCTCGGGCTTGGCGCTCTCACGAGCCTCTTCTTTCTCTTGTTGCTGTTGGTCCTCGGGAGTCTCGGGTAGTATGCTCAATGTGCGGTTCAGGAACGGAGTAATCGAAAAATTGGATTTGTCGGCAAAGTTGACCGAAACTCGCTGCTTCTTTGCTGCTGGTGCGCCGTGTCCGGGGGTGCCGATGGTCATGTCAGGATCGAATCGAGGGATAGGTCGTTTACCGAGCACTGTTGCCTTGCCAGTTACTCTTGCTTGGGTCATCTCGGCAGACTGGGCCATCTTCTCGGCCTGCAGTCTTTCAATCTCATCTTGAGCTTCGCTGAGTTGCTCCTTTGTGGACCGAAGCTTGTTTCTGAAAGCGTCCAGCTTCCCCTCAAGTATCTCTTTTTCCCCTTCCCATTCGACCACCTTCTTTCTGCTGTCACGTTCAGTTTTCTGGAGATCACGATGGGCCTTGCTCAACTCCTTCTTCAGATCCTCGATTTCTCCTTGCAGGGTGGAATCTTGACGTGCAGCTGAATGCTCTCGGGCTGTTATACGCTGAACAGCTCTCTTTTCCGTTTCCAGTTCAACTTGCACCGAGGCCAATTCGCGCTGCAATGCCAATTTCTCAGACAGCAAGTTTTGTTGCGTAGAAGCTTGTGACTTGAGATGTTCCAACTCAGGCTTCAGTTTGTTCAATTCTCTTGTCAACGCAAGCTTCTCGGACAGGATCCTGCTGGACTCGGCACTAGCAGCATTTAATTCGTTGAGTTCGGCTTTCAGGTATTCTAGGTCGCGCAGGCGTGCTTTCAATTCTAGCTGCGTCTCTCGGGAATCGGCTTCAACTTCAGAAAGATGCGCTCGTAGGTCGTCGTTGGTTTTCTCAAGGTGATGCTGCTGATCCTCGTCTCGATGGCCTTGTTCTCGAAGATCGTTATTCTCGTGTTGGAGTAGGAGGAGTTGTACGCGCAAGACTCGCAGGCTTTCTTCATCGCAGATGCGCTCAGCTTTGCGGAGGGAGCGTTCGTAGATCAACTCGAGTTCTGCCGTTCGTAGTTGTGCAGCTATGATGGACTGCGCAATCTCTGCACTAGACATATTGGCTATTTCTGTTTCCATCTTGCGATAGCTAGAATCTCTCAATGATGTTCCTGGGTGATCGTTGTGGATTGTGGCATAAACACGTCCATGGCCTCGGGTTTGTTGACATTCCGGAAGAGGAAAGGCGTGGGCGCCAAGATATCTTGAAAGTTTTGCTTTCGAGTGCGGATCAGGTACTGTACTCAGGGCATCCCGGAAAGAATGCAAGGCCCCGTGAAAGTGCTCAATTCTAACACGAGACAATGCCCAGACTCTCTCTCCGTCAAGTCCAGGCGTCTTGAAGCATAAAATTCAGCGCGCACTTGCTGGAGCCGTCATTGAGGCCAACGGAATAGAATGCATCACATTCCATCCTCAGCGAAGACTCAAGCATGCGATGCATTACGGATGCGTCTATTCGACTTGGATCTACGTTTCTTCTCTTACTCAAATGAGTTGTTCCTTGTGTATTGACCATCATATCTCAGTCGCAAATGTCAGGTGGCGGGAGCAGGATGCTACAAGTACATTTCATATGTTCTTCGTTAACACAGCTCTACGCAAACAAAAGGAGGAAAACAATCAACATTCCGGACTCCCCTTAAGCTTCCCGTCCGGCTGCTCTCGCTGTATCCGCGCCGATGGATTCCCACAATCGAAAGGGTGATTCAGTCGTTTGAACATATATATGTAAATCTCCAATAGGAGCCTGCCGCTCGACCTCTGTACTCAGGGCCAAGTGCAGGAGATTGTCGCCAACATCATCCCTTTGTCGTACATTGTTTCATGCTGTCTGCGATGTTGTTGAAGTCGATAGTCGCCGGTTCTTTCGGCAGCAGACCCAAAAGATCAGATCAGCTCGAGATCTCTCTCTGGTGGAGTATCGGAGCCGAGCCGTAGATCCGTCTTATGAATTGCAGATTGAGTCAACTGTACTCCGTACTGCGTGGGAAACCGGCTGGCAAGATGCGAGTATAGGTGGAGGGTGACCGCGTCCGTCTGGAGAGAAAAGTCACCAGCGCGTTGTCGGTCAAACAACATCGACGATGAGAGCCAGGACGCACCATTCAGCGTCGACGCGGCATCGTTGTGTACGCGTATCACAAACTTATGCACGCAGGTGTGTTGCGCACAGGTCAAGCCGAGTGATGCTGAGCCACCGACCGTCTTGATCGAATTCCCGCTGTTTGGCATGGCTTGATGGGCCTCTGCCGTCTGAAGCAGATCCTTGCCCCTGGAAGCCCGCTGGGCCCACCGGAGGCGTCGGTCTTTTGCCTGCGTGCGTTTCAGAACGATCGATCGCTAGGCTTTTTCAGTGCTTGATCCAGATAAAGGTGGACTCGGGGCTTCTGTTCAAGGAGCATTAGTCGCTTGGCTGGGGCTCAACGCGCGCAGAAAACTCCGTCATAGCGGCAACTGGTTGATTTGGCCCAAGCAAGAATTTGGCGAACCGCGAGAGGCGAGAACATGTGCTTCTCCTTGTCGACCCTGACCCAACAAAGTCGAGGCCTTCGCTTTATCTGCAACCCATCTCATCTTGAAACGTTTCAATATCAAAAAGACATTCGTTATCATTTTCACCCTGAAGTATATATCCCTTACCTACGCCATCCTGGATTTCGTTTCCGCTGCGGCTCTTTCGTCACGTTTTGGCCGTCTGCCAATCACCGTCGGATCTTGTATTCTGTACCATCATCACCAGCGTTGTGAAGCACGTCGGGAACTTCACCTTTCTTTCAATTTCAACCGGTGTCTCGAAACCATCCATCACATCGTGGTCGCCGACAGCTGGCTGCCATCACCCCTTGTTGTTGCTGTGGAGGCACGGAACACGCCCTCGAAATCACTCTTGTACACAAAGACTTGACCATCAGAACACGCTCTCCCAATAATACTCGACCAAGGCGTCCTAACACAGACATACTCACTCTCCTTCACTCGGTACATCAATCATGTCCACTCCGATACACGAACTCCCACGGATGGAATTGGAAACTCCGACACATCGCTCTTCTGACGATGACAACACCACTGTCGTCAACACCAATGACAGGCCTGAAGGCTCGGTAGATGGGAGAGCCCTCCGAGAGCGTCTAGAAGTCGAAACAAATCACCAAGGACACGCCAGATTCGATGATGCAAGGCCATCACCTTCTCAGACGAGAGAAGAGGCCCACAGGCTGGATGATGAGCTTGCCATGCAACGAGCTGAGCAGTTGACATCTCTTGAGTCGAGACAAGAAGAAGGCCGGAGCTCAATGGCTCTTCATCGTTCTAGATCGCGGGCGCCGGAACCTCTTGACGAGTTCGACACCGCTACGAATCCAATTCACGAACGAACTGCTGTCTACAAGCCTCCAGAAAATCCTAGCACAAAAGTTGCCAGATTTTTCAAAGCCGTCCACCAATCCAGTTTCCTCATTCGCTACTTTACCTACATTGCGCCCGTCGCCTTCTTGCTTTCCATTCCCATTTTCATCGGAGCCTTTCTACCAAAGGGTAAAAATGCCAGCGTAGGTGGCGTCGAGCTGCTTTGGTTCGGTGTCTGGCTCGAAATTGTATGGCTGACGCTTTGGGCTGGTCGGGTTGCTGCACGGCTAATCCCCTACCCACTCGGATTGGTATCCAGCTTGTTCACCAACAATGCCAAAAAATGGCGAGACTTGGCTAAGGCGTTGGAAATCCCTGCCACGATCTTCTTTTGGTGGCTTGGAATTGAGGTCTCATTCTTGCCCACCATGAGAAATCATCTGGTCCGCGGCGCCGACCCTCACCCCGAGTGGCAAAATGTTCTCAACAAGATCATCGTGTCCATCTTTGTCGGAGCAATCCTAAACTTCGTCGAGAAGATTATCATCCAGCTCATCGCCATCTCCTTCCATCTGCGAACTTATGCGGATCGCATCGAGCTCAACAAATTCCAGATCGGCAGCCTGACCAAGCTGTACATATTTTCCAGAGAAAAGATCGCCATGGAAGACGCTGAGTTTGTGGAAAAGCCGTCTGGGACGCAGTCTGGAACTCGCACTCCCGCAATGTACGCTGCCCAGGCTCAACATGCTGTGACAAAGGCGTTTGCGAAAGTGGGAGATGTTGCTGGTCAAGTGGCGGGCGACTTTACCGGAAAGAAGATCGCCAAAAGCGACCACCCTTCGCAGGTTGTCTTGACTCTGCTCCACACGACTAGCGGCTCTCAGGTACTGGCTCGCCGTCTCTACCGGACATTCGTCCGGGACGGCTGCGACTTTGTGTCGTCTGATGATCTCAGGGCGGCTTTCGAGTCCGAAGAGGAAGCTGACGCAGCATTCTGCATGTTCGATAAAGACATGAACGGCGACATATCCATGGAAGAGCTTGAAGCCGTTTGCGTTGAAATCGGAAGGGAGAGGAAGTCCATTACCAATTCACTAAAGGACTTAGACTCGGTCGTCAGTAGGTTGGACGATGTGCTCCTCTTCATCGTGTTCATCATTACAGTCCTCGTCTTCATCTCCCTCATTTCGACTGCAGCCGCTGGGGTTCTGACGTCGGCGGGATCTCTTGTTCTTGGCCTGTCATGGCTCTTTTCCTCCACCGCGCAGGAATTTCTTCAATCCTGTGTCTTCGTCTTTATCAAGCATCCTTTCGACGTTGGAGATCGGGTGGCCATCTACGGCAACACCGGGTCCTCACTCAAAGGCGACGACTACTTTGTCAAAAAGATATCTCTTTTATATACCGAGTTCAAAAAGATGGAAGGCCATGTGGTGCAGGCACCTAATTCCTATCTCAACACTCTCTTCATCCTCAATCAACGTCGCTCCGGAAGTCTCGCGGAAGCCGTCCCAATTGTCATCAAATTCGGTACGACAATCGAACAGATCGAGGCATTGCGGAACTCACTCATGGAGTTTGTGAAGGCTGAAAAGCGCGAATACCAGGCTAATATCCTGACGGAACTGCGCGAGGTCGCCGAAGTGTACTCTCTAACTCTCAACGTCGTCTTCTTCTACAAATCGAACTGGCAAAATGAGCTGCTTCGTTTACAACGGCGGAACAAGTTCATATGTGCTCTGATGGTGTCAATGCAAGAACTCGGCATTGAAGGACCTCGTCGCAACCAAGCCGGTTGGTCACAAAATGGGCCTTTCTACATGGAATCACCTGCTGGCGGCGGAAATGCGTTCGCCAATAATCAGCAACATCCCAACAATCCCGACGATGGCGGTGCTGCTGAAGGTGTTCCAATGCAAAATATCACTACGGCTCCGATCCACGAAGCACCAATCACTGCCCCCCCTCTCAACCATCCGTCGATTTTGCGTCGGCGCCCAAGTACCGGCCAGCTTGGACGCCCCAGAGGCGAATCACTCTCCGCTATGTCGAGAAGAGTGGACTTCTCTCTCGGAATGAAGGATGTGTCCTCCGGGGAACAGTTATCTGATGTCTACGAGGACAGCGAGCGTCCTCGGTTCGAAGAGGTCATTCGTGAGACAAATCGGATCGAGGAAGAGCGGAGACTGTCGTCGTCGCGCGAACGGTCAACGGCGAGGAGGAGCTCAAGAGAACAAGGCCCAGCCACGATGAGCGGCATACTCCGAAGATCAACCACGCAGGACATGGGAGGAGGTCGACGATCTTCAGTCAGTCAACGACCTCACCGAGCTTCTATCAGCAGCCAGGAGACTCACCGCAACCGTTTCATGAGCCGCCTCGGCCGCACCGATCGAAGCATCGATTTGGAGTCCAATAGATCTCCCGAACCGTTCCCTCCCATGCGGTAGGTACCGTTGCGCATGGGCGTTCACCTCAATTACCTAATTCATCTTATTCATATTCAAGCCTGGTGCTTGCAAAGGGTTTGGCAGGCACTTAGAGAGGAAGTGACCGAGGGGTTCACGATACACATACACTCGTCATCTATAGATCCCAAATATTACGAACTCATGATTATTAGATTATTATTTTGTACCTTATATATCCTTACTATTGACGTTAGGTCTGGGCAGGCTTCCCACCCTGCCGCAATGGTATGAAGTCGACTAAAGGTATCGTCTTTATTTGTGTGCTCGATCGTTCGTCAGATATGTGTTATCATCACATCATTATGGATGTTTGCCCCTCAGACTCAGCACTTCCCCAGAGTTACCACATAGGCCACACACTAAATGCCTCGGTCCTCAAGTCACTCACAATCATAGGACCAGTGAGGGTCTCTCTCGCTCTCTCTCTGTCTGTATGTGTCACGACACGTAGTTATCGCACGTGACGACTCATTTCCAACTGGTGAAAAGGACGCAAATCATTATCCGACCTTGCCCTTGGTGCCCAGCAAGGAATCCGACGAAAGCTTAGTAGTGCTTTGCTTTTGTGTCGTATAACCAAGCGAACCAGCCCTGCGGGTGGGAAAGGAGAAGAGGGAATTTGTTCTGGCTTGTGCTATTGAACACGTTTTGATGTACGTGTGGTTTGATTATTTGACCACACACTAACTTAATTGATTAGGCTGGCTTAGTTTCCTTCGTAAAGATCGGTCTAGCCACAATGCTAAGACTCGCATCGGACGAATCCATTGCACAGCAAGTGTCTTCGAAGCCAACGGCGAAAGTGATTTGAGGGGGTAGGAGCCTTGGACCCGACATCACCCAATGGAAGGAATAGGATTTGAATATGATAAGCTGGGGTGGTTCGTTGCTCCGCAAAGCTAATCAAACTGAAAAACGTACCAACGCTACCCACGGGGTACTTCTTGGAAAGCTGCATAAACATCTCGCTTCCCTCTAGGACCGGGCCTTTGCGGAGTCCCAGGCTCGGGACGTTTTCGCGCCTTCTGCTCCCTTCTACAAGAGTCCGGGGAACGCCGTGATCATGGCGTGATTGCTCGCCTAGGATCACCAACTGGAGTCTCTGTCCCAGCTCGTGACGACTCGGCTGGCTACGGCTCCAAGCGAGGCGCGTGGTGGACTTCGCGGAAGACTTCAACATGTGGACACGGAGTAGATATGACGGGTTATGACCAAAGGCCAAACTCTCTTCCAAACGAGGAAACCCGTGAGATGGTGTTCATCTCAAGACCGATCATATACGCGACATTCTCGTAACCCTCAAACTATATAAGGTCAATATGGTTCTCGTATCAGGCACAAACGATATTTCTTCTTCTTCTTCTTCTTCTTCTTCGTCGGCCTGACTTCGATGACGGCCTTCCGTTTCCAAACACGCATTAAGACATCGAAGTCGTAATGCTCTCGGGTGTGGGAGAAAAGGTCCTGAATGTTAAGTGAAGACTTCGGGCGTAGGATAAGAATCACCTCTCGATCGTCCTGAAGGAATTATTATCGTCTCTACTCGTCCCATACAGAGGTTGTGCTTACCGAATCAAATTTCCAAGGGATACCAAAGTAGTCCAGTGTCTCGGTGTTTAATTGCTCCCACCGAACCCGAACATACTCCACGTCCGACAAACCAAGGCCGGGACAGGATAAATCCGCGCAAAGAGAATGCTGATGAGCATGGGAAGAAGAATGAGTATATGGAACCGGATTCAGGTGGTGAGTAGGGTGATATGGCTTCCCGCTGATGGCCTGTTCGATCTCATCGGGTCCAAATCCGTGGTCAACCATCTTCTTCCGCATTTCATTCTTTAGATCTTCCTCTTGCTTTTTCTTTTCATTCTCCTTTTTGAGCTGTTCGGCCTTTTGTTGGGCTTCCCAGAAGTCCTTCAGCCTCCGGGTGTCCTCCTCCTTATTTTTCATTTCCAGCTCGTGTTCATTAATGATCCTTTGCTTTACTTTCTCAGCCTCAGCCAGCTCTAGCTTGTATTTCTGCACCGCTTGTTCACTAGCGTTCTTCTTGTCATTCTCCTCGGCAAGGACATGTGCCCTGACAATGGCTTCTTCCGACTCCAGCGGCGGATGGTGTGGAACGTGGTGCCACCAATACGGATCGGGGTATGGGCCATTTGCGCTGAAGAGATTGGATCGCTGGCCATTGAACTCGATACTTGCAATAGCCGCGGAATTCGATGCTGCATTCGCAAAATCGTGGACATTGATTGGGGCACTGCTGGGGGTGTTATTGATGACGGGAGCCTCGGCCGTTCCAGTCTGAGGTTGGCCGACTAACCACTGAACGGCTGGGCTTGAAGCAACTGGAGGTACCCACCAAACCGGAGCTGGATGGGGATCGACTGGAGGGATTGAAGCTGACGATGTTTGATGGCCTGGCCTCACTATGAGCTCCCTGTTCGGGCCCCTTGTCCAAATATCGATTTCTTCAATATTTCCGTTGATTGGCTCGTATGTGACGTTAGACCAGTCGTGTCGAGGCATAATGGGTTTTGGAGATATGTTTTTGTTATCCTCTCGAGACGTAATTTTTGCTTTCCACACACTAATATGGAGCGTTGTATAAATTGCGTGGAACTAGATTGTTTTGTCTCTGTCGAAAGTCTCTCAAGTGAGATATATTTAGTCTCATAACTTCCATCTTTGAGAAGAACGTGTGATTCTCGCCATTGACTGGTGGCGTGATGGCCCTTCGTATTCGTGACGAAGAGCCAAGGTATAAGGCATATGACCAGAGAGTTCGTATTTGCAGCCGATAGGCTTTGTAGAACACTTGAAGCTGGGTTGATGGGCCACAATGAAGCTCGGGAATGAGGTCTTGTAGAACATTTGCAATCGTGCAGCCTGATTTGCATAGAGGTTGCCCGCAATGGTATGTTCATGAGCTGCGAGAAGTGGGATTCTTTGCCGGCAAGCTCTGTCTGATCTGCACAACCTAGCCGCCCCCGTGTAGGCTCTGAGTCCACAAACACGAGAATGGGCAGCTGCCTGGACAGCTTGCGAGGTATCTAAACTTAGCTTCAACAGAAGGACAGGTGCGGGAAGCGAATTAAATCAGTCCATCAGTCAGCAGTCGAATCCTCAAATCGATCATCACGGTAAGCGAGCAGCTGGAGCGGTGTGACTGGGAAATGCTGTCAGAGTTTCAAAGCCTCGAGAGAAGCGTGACATTGTGGCGGTGTTATCCCACCACAAGAATGTGGTCATCACGCTATCACGCAACAGCCACCAGCCTCAGAGAGCCTTTGAGACTGCTGGATCTTCTCTTACCAGGGCTTCGTAGCTTGGCACAATAGACACAATCTGATGGAAATTGATCCAGTACAATACCATTTTCGAAATATTCTGGGGACATCATACCCCATTCAATCAAGACAATGCCTTTCAAGCCATGAAGGTCGTGTCCATTTGGTGCACCATCATCGGCCGAATCACTCTGCCACACACACACTCAGCCACTGCCCCTGTTTCTCCTTCTCCTCGCGCTTCTACCTGCATGACCAACAGGGTACACGTGTATTTATCGTTAGTATTTCCGGGTTATCATACAGACTCCAGAGTCGTCTAGGAGGAATACCTAACAAACCCACACCAAACGAGACGACTTAAGACGCGTTGATCCAGTAGTGGATCCGTCCAGCCCAAGTTGAGAATCGACCTGGAGATAGACTCGTCTTCGCGGCGAGGATCGTCTCTGGCTTGGTGTAATCTGTCGTAGAGCCATCAGCGCATGGGCTTTGCCCTGACTTTGTTTACTATGCCGACCGCGATCATAGACTCCTGGCCAAGGAATCAACAACCGTGCCGCGGTGTGTTCCAGCCCGTTGCCCGATTCTGATTCTCCATGCAGCATCGAGAACATTTCCATGCCACCAGAGGCGCCAGCTCAAGCAAGTGTCTGACTCGCGATCAGATCAGACTGTCGCAACAGCAAGTGCAGTCTCCGTGGTCAAAACCCAAAGCTTCCTCCTCGTTAGTCCGGTTTGTTTCTCGCACCGACCTTCACCTGACCGCAAGGGCCAGTCTCGTGGCTGATATCAGTCTGCAGGCTCGGGGTGACCGTTCAACGACATTGTTTCATCGAACGAAGAAGAGATCTTGTTCGGTAAAGAAGACTATACCGAGGAACCTTCTCCTCATTAACTAGGGATTGAGCAGCTCGTTCATGTGTGCGCTATACACAATGTCAATCTCAGCCTTACCATGTCAACTCCTCAACCAGAGCAAACGCGGCGCAAATATGTGAACGCTGCATGCTTTCTTTATGGATGCACGTCTCGGAGGTTCAGATGGATTGTACTCACTGTGCACGCTTCACCATTTTGCACTAATTCCTCTGCATCATGGTGGAAGAATGGAACACAGCAATGGTCCACCGTAGTGGATACTGCTCGATACCCGACGGTCCCTCTGTGAGTACTCTACCCCACAAGTCTTTCTAGTCGACCTAAAACTCCTCCCCCGCTATATATTTTCGATCTTCGAGCTTGGCCAAGCACACTCGCACATCTCAAGGGGTGGCCCCGATAACTCGGTCCAGCTATGCCTGAACGGTTCGAAGGTCTTGAGCTGTAATCATGCGGCCTTCGACCGCCTGTCTTGCTTGCAGGTACGTCGTAGTGAGATCAGCCGTCTCGGCGGACAGAAGGCGACTTACCGGTCTCAGGAATCGACGCAGAAAATGTGAGCTCGCTGGACCCGAGCCGCCGTGCGCGTGGTGTAAAGAACGTGGTCTGCCATGTTCACTTGCTGAGGACGTGAAGCTCTATCACCCGAAGGGCCAGCTGAGCCAGCCCTCACTCGACTCATCATTAGCTCGGAGCGTCGGGCCTCATCGAGACCAGACAACAACCGATGCTGTCCAACTCCCCTCGGCTGCTCTTTGCATTGAGCTGGTTGAGTTGTATTTCAAATACATTCACGACCTCTTCCACTCTTTGTTTCATCGGCCCAGTGTTCTGGAGGACGTCGCGGACGGGTCCATGCCCGAAGTTCTCCTGTTCGCAATCATCAGCTTGTCCGCGCGGTTTTCCAACGATGCTCTTTTCTCCGACATCGATCCACGTGTGCGAGGTCGGCCGTACGGAGCAAAGGCGCAGTCCCTACTTAATCTGCGCGATGTCTCTCTGACGACGGTCCAGGCCTGTGTGCTTCTGGGTGCTTTCTACGTCACCGAGGGAGAACCCGCCACCGAGGCCGTCTACTACAGCATCGCCAGCCGGAATGCGCTGCTGCTGGACCTCCCGCACAATGCCGACCGATTGTCACCTCTTGATCAAGAGATCAATCGACGCGTGTGGTGGTCGTTGTGCATGATTGACGTCTGGTCCTCGAACGGGCTCCGGCTTCCACGAAATCTGCCGCCGAACAACTCGGACGACGTCCCGTACCCGATCGAGGAGACGATCTTCCTGCGCATGAGGCGCCGCGGCCGTGGTCGTGATGATGACGACGGACACGACGACCCTAGAGGCAGCAGCCCGCCATCGACGTTGATCGGCGGTCGGAATTGCTCATCCTCGCTGTTGACGCAGATGGTCAAGCTCAACGCCATTCTCGTGCAGATCAGCCTGCTCAATCAGAGCGCCGCGGCGGCGGCGGCGGCGAGTCCGCGGTTCCAACACAACATCATCCTCAACCAACAGGACACCGTCGACGAACTCTCGAACGCGCTCGACAAGTGGTACGAGGACCTGCCCCCGGAGCTGCGCGACACGCAGGCGAACCTCGACCACTATGCGGCTCTCGGGCTCGGCCCCATGTTCGTCGCCGTCTACCTGGGGTACTACCACTACGGCGTGCTACTGTTCTACCAGTACCTGCATGCAGATTCGCACGACGACGAGCACCCGTCGGCCTATTATCGCTACGCGCTCAGGTGCAAGGAATACGCCATCGGTCTCTGCGAGATCCTGTACCGGGCCTACTCGACGCCCGGCTGCGACGTCTACTACACGATGGTCGGCCACGTGTTGGTCATCGCTTCGACCACCCAGCTCCACATCCTCCTGTTCGACTCGGACGAGTCGCAGATCCGCGCCGCCCGTCGGCGCCTCGAGAAGAACTTTTCCATCCTGACGCGCCTGCAGGCCTACTGGCCCAGCCTGGACGTCTGCTACGGCAGATTCGGCGACTTCCACAGGGCTTGCCTCAAGTACAAGGAGACTTCGTTCCAGATGGACAAGTGGATGTTGCGGTTTCTGTTCGACTTTGCGAAACCCATAGGCGAAAGGAATCCCGCCGGTGCCTTGGCCGAACTCGTACCCTGGTCTACTCGAGACTTGGGCTTCGGTGGTAACCTCCAGGATGCCAGCCCTGAAAGCCTATTTTGATCGAGGGTGCGTACGGGTGCCTCTCGTGGCAGAAAACGCCCTTTTTGATTTATCCTCCAAGCGTACTAGTTAGTGGGAGTAAACAATGCAAGTTGAACATTTGGGCAATTTGGTTTCGTGTGTGTTTCTTGATTCTCATAGTATCCATCGCGATAATGTTGCCAAGTGTTTATGATCATGTAGAGTTGTATTTCGGAGGACGGGTCAAGCATACGAAAAGGCGGGAAATATTCGGGCGGGACAATTCATTTCCAATTTCTTCAAACAATGAGAGATGAAGGGACACAAGTTTTTCCAAGGTTTCCCCTTCAAGTTCCAATCTTGATTCACATGCGCGAGGCTCTTGGTTTTCACCATGGTATATAAGCTCAACCCCGGCACTGGCTTTGTCTGTATATCCACCCCGGCGTAGATCCGTTTCCCCCCATTGTCAAGTCAAACGCACCAAGATAGTTCTCGAGCGGCGGAACGCACGGCTGCTCAGACAGGATGATCAGTGGGTCTTAAGGTAGTCTGTGACAGCAGGAGCGATAGATGGCCGTCGGGAGTTCTGACCCGAAGCCGTCATGCTGGCTCTGCGCTGGGCGGCGGCGTCCTCAGCTCGGCCGTGCGATGCGAGGAAGTTCGTCACAGACGGAACGAGAGAGGCCCGCTTGCCTGGTTGACCGCTCACAGAGTAGCGCTCCGCCAGTTGGTTCTGCTCGTGCTCATCAAACCCGTCGACAACGGTAGTTGCGAACTTCCGAGCTGGTACCCTTTTCGCAAAGAGGATATCGAGTTCATGGAATGTTCGTCCCTGTGCCCCATATCAGCCAGCGCACCTTTTACTTAAGGAGGGAGAGAGAAAAAAAATGGGACTCACCTTGGTTTCAGGTAGTCGGAAATAAGACCACAACAAAATGATCCAGGCCCAACCACCCCAGAAAAAGCCGGTGTATCCACGAAGATCCCACGCCGTGGGGTTCATCATGTAGTTCTCCAGTGTACTTCCGATGACGCTGCAGATGCTGTAAGCGTTTCGCGCCAGACAGACAGTCTTTTGCCTCAAGCGCGTGGAGCCAACCTCCGCAGGCAGAGCCCAGCCCAACTGCCCTGCCGAGAGTTGGAATGTAAAAGTCCAGACCAGGGTCATAATGGCTTGGGTCCAGCCTACAGACTTCTTGTGCGTCCAGGGGTTGAGAATACCAATGATGCAGAGCTCGACGGCCATACCGCACATGCCCCAGAGCCAGATGGTGCGGCGACCAAAGCGTCTGAAGGGTTGTCAGCATAGGTAACACGGTAACAAGGGCTGGGATCTGAGGCATGAAACCTACGGCATCAAGAAGAACCAATTGCAGAAGCATGCAAACAGGGCCATGGAGTTGGCACCGAGTCCCAGAGAGTAGGTTGCGTCGGTGTCTAAGCCCACTTGTTGGAAGAAGTAAGTTGATGCATACGCAAAGCAGGAGCCGCAGAGTAGTTGACCAGCGAAGACGGTACAGGCAATTTCAGTGCGGCGAAGTTCGAACCCCTTGAAGCAGTCATGATAGCTGGTTCCGATGGAGAGTTGTTCCTCGAGATTATTGGTATACACAATTTGTGCCAAAGTTCGCTTGGGGTCCAGCTGTGCGTGAGGCGCTTGGAGTCTCCTGATGGATTTCTCGGCCTCTTCGAGCTGGTTATGGCGGACCAGGTGGTAGGGAGACTCGGGGGCAAAGTAGATGAGAGGAATCAAGAAGACGGGCCACATCCACTGAAGCGCATAGGGGACCTTGTAGCCCCACACTGAGCTATCGTGGACCATGCCTCGCAAGACTCCGGCGCTGATTAGCTGTCCGATGATGAAACACATATTTGTCCAGGATGTGAAGTACACACGAAGCTGAATGGGAAGCACTTCAGAAGCATATGCCGGAGCAGTTGTGGCGAACTGAGATGACCAGTTGTCAGCAGAAAGCCCCTTCTCTCGCAAAGTTGTTTGTTATACTCACAATTCCCCATTCGAACCCGAGCAAAATCTGGCCCACTAGGAGGACAGGCTTGCTTGGAGCAAAGAAAACAATGAAAAGGAAGCAAGACATGACACACAGCGTGTACAAAACCACCTTTCTTGGGCCAAAAGCTGCGACAAGCCACCCATTGATGATCGTTCCAAAGATGGACCCAACCCCTGAAGCCTGGCCCAAGCCAGTCTGCCATGCGGCTGTGAGAGTATACCCTGATGGTATCTGTTCAGAGACGCCCACATAATGCCCAAACTTTTTTTGGAAAGAAGCTATATTGGCTGTCAGCTCGAGCCCAATCTCGCCAAAACGATTGATGATACACTCACGGTAGGCGTAGAAATTGCCCAAGAGGTTTGTGTCGTAACCTTCCATGACAACACAGAACGATATAGCCAAGCTCCAGAATATGGCCTTCTTGTGAAGTTTAATGGCTTGAATGATCGTCATTTCCTTTTCATCCTGCGTGACATCGCGAGCCGCCGTCGCCAGGGCCTTGTCTCCCCATTGCTCGTCCCTCCAGGCCCGATCAAAGTTGCCGTTGGCTTCGGCATGGTGAACTTCCTGACTCTTGTCACCCATGGCTGTGCCGCAGATGTCGCGCTGGATAGCTGGGTTGTGAGTGTTTTTGGACTAGATTATTGTGTTTGTGGGTTGATGTAAGAACAACCATCGTGCTGGGGGCAGGTGTCCGCCATCTTTTATATCCTCTGCCTCTAGTGAGGTTGGATGTGACCTGGTCCAAATGAAGTTAACGGCGGGTTTCGGGATATGGCTTTTGGGTGTGGACGCATTTGCTGGGGAATATGGGGAACGGGGAACGCGGCTTTCCTGTGGGAGATGCAAGATTTGCCGAGCGGTGAAATTGTTACGTACACGGACTGTACAGGAAAAGCTTCTTTTGCGTTTTCCGCCTGTTTCCCGCCTGTTTTCCGCCGCCATTTGAGAGAGATTCAGAACTGTCAAGTTGAGACGTCGTCTTGAAGTTGGCTAGGTTGGGGTGCTTGAAGGAGAAATATCGGAATGGACACCAAAGGCCAACATTGGTGTTTTAAGGGGTTGAGGCGGCTTCGATCTTAATCCCGGGAAGGGCTCGCGGATGGACCAGAGGGATAATCACTGTGGAATGAGGCATGCCCTTCCGTGCATGTCGCCGTGACTGTTCCCTGTGGACAAAGAACCGAGATTGTTTTCCCCAGATGTCACCTTCTCCAGTTGACCTACGGGCCAACATCGTCGACTGGAGCGGGCTCTCACGTCCAGATTGCTCTACCGACAGCGGATGCTTTCTCTATGGAACCTATGCCACGTGCAGTGAACCAAAGAAAGCATCATGCTGGTCTTTCAACTATTTGGAAGTTTTCCCAGAACGGTAGGCTATGTTGTATCACACAGTTTGCTCTTGATCACATCTACGGTAGAGATGAAGTACTGACGAATGAATCTTGGATACACAGCCGAGCTCGGGTTCTTGCGCCCTTTCAAGGCTGGATTTTCAAGTCGCTCGCTTTGTCCCTCATTCTCAGTCGATACAATTTTCCGCCGCACTGCTGCAATCTAGCCGTGGCCTGCTCTGGAGTGATGTCGCGTTGTGGTTCGGCCATCAATTCATACCCCACAAGAAACTTCCGCACTGATGCACTTCTCAGAAGGGGAGGGTAGAAGTGGATGTGGAAGCTGGAGCATTCAATGTCTTCATCGCTCCCGTCCAGAGGAGCTTGGTGCACGCCCATGCTATATGGGAAATCTGTTTCGAACAGGTTGTCGTATCTTCGCGTTATTTCTGCAATCGCCTCGGCAAGGTCAAGCTGTTCGTGGGTCTTCAAATCCAGCAGTGATCTCAAATGTCGGATTGGGACAATCATTGTTTCGAAAGGCCACGTTCCCCACCACGGACAAATCACCAGAAATGTAGCGTTCTGGAACACAATCCGTTCTCCTTGTTGTTGTTCAAGTTGAGCGTAGTGGGTCAGCATATTTCTACCGTGCTCCAAAAAGTACCTTTTCAGCTGCTCCAGCTCAATAGCTGGCTCTTCGGGGAGAGTCGTTGATGTCCAGATCTGCCCGTGGGGGTGGGGGTTTGAGCAGCCCATAGCAGCGCCTTTGTTTTCAAAAATCTGCATCCACCTATGTTGTATTCTTGCTGTTCTGATACTCGAACTGATCTGGGATCGAGGGACTGTCTTTGCCAATGAGGCCAGTGAAGATTGTGGGGCGATGTACCTCGCATAGACCTCAGTCCACGCTTTGATGACTGGCACAATCTCGCTGGGAGACATGTCGGCGAGGGTTTTGCTGTGATCGGCGTTGAAGGTCAGGACATAGCATGTGCCTGAGACAGGTTCTGCCTTGAGTAGGACAGCCGAAGATTTTTCTGAAAGCGGGTGCTCGAAGCCGTTTACTTCCTGACCTTCGTTGAGGGCACTATAGTCATTGACGAAGAGAAACACATCGTTGTAGCTGGGATTAGTCTCCCCTGAAGCTCTGGTGTTGCTGGGACACAAGTAACATTTCGAATCGTAGGATTCGAGGCTGAGGAGGCTTGGGCTTTCTTGCTGTCCTCTACACCGCTCGCATTAGTACCGACTCGTCCCCGACCTGATGAGGGATTTCCTTACTGCCACGGTCTTTTGGTTCTGTGGGGAGAGACGAGCACCCAGCTCGCGCGGAGAGGGTTGTAGCGACGATGAGCAACGTCATCGAGAATTTTCTCATGCATCTTGCCCGGCCTGAATGCACCTCGCTAGATGTACACGACGGAACGACCGAGGAGCCCAAATAAAGACTTGAGCTCACGCAACACGTGGGAGTGGAAAGAACAAAATGTTGGTGACGGAATTTGGATTGCGCGTAGTCATTCTCTCGTCCGTTGATTTCCTCTGGCTATTTGATGAGGACAAAGTTGAGAATGAAGCGAGGTGGCAGGCGACACTCATCCCGGCAATCCAGTCAAGTTAGGACTTGTAAGTCAACACGATATCCGAGAAGGATCCCGTGCAGTGCAAGAGCGCTATTGCCGCCAGCTTCTGTTTTCAAATTTCCTGCATCTGCATCCGAATTTTGGTAATGAGTTATCCAAAGTAAGCGTTGAAGCTTTCTCTTAGCGGCGGTAAACCCTGGTGTTCTCCGATGCCGACGTTTTTGATGAAGTTTTTCAATCGCCGGGTGGAGACACACACACCTGTTCATGTTTGGTATACATGGCTCCGAATGAATTTAATCCCCCAAGAGGCTGACCGGGACAATTGGATGGCCTACGGGACACAGTGCAAGATGGTTGAGCTCGCCGGAATACGAATCGCTTGATTGCAGTCTGCATCTCCACAGCCAGGTCTCCACCGGCCCATAAACTCCGGGGTCTGGTTGTATTTCCTCCTTGAGGTGCACCAGCGTGACGACTTATTCAAAAATTGCCCGGAATCCCGAGCTGCAAGACGTTGCGATGCACACTGATCTCGTTCTGCATGCTCCAGCGTCGCGGCCTCTCGACTCATTCGATATCGTTCCTTCCACCACAGGAAGTTGGCAATGAAGTCTCTCGTTCCCCAGTACGACAGTCTGAGTGATGTGTATCCCGATTTATCAGCACAGGACGACACTGCGCTGTCAGTCCGAAGGCGCTTCCTGAAACTCACAAATACCTTTCAGCAAGAGTTCGGTCACAAGCCTTCCTTCGTGGCACGGAGTCCGGGAAGAGTCAACATCATTGGAGAACATATTGACTATTCGATGTACAGCGTGTTGCCTGCCGGAATTGGTTCTGATGTCCTAATTGCTGTTCGGGTCTTGCCAAAGGCCCAAGATTCACTGTTTAGTATCAAGATGGCCAATGGCGACATGCAGAAATATCCTAGGAGGGAAATCACCATAGGACAATCTGGACTGGTCGAGATTGACAGTGACCAACATTCCTGGACGAATTATATCTTGGCCGGATTGAGAGGCTCCCTCCCTTATCTACGAGGAAGACTGGGCAGTTCTTTCACACCCAACGACATGGAGATACTAGTGGACGGGAATATTCCTCCCGGTGGCGGCCAGTCAAGCAGTGCCGCCTTCATCTGCGCGTCAATCCTTTCTGTCATGGGAGCCAACAACTATTCAATTTCGAGAGATGACTTGCTGGAGCTAGCCGTTGTTTCTGAGCGTGCCGTTGGTGTTTTCTCTGGAGGCATGGATCAAGCGGCGTCGATCTTCGCTGAGCGAGACTGTCTGATTCACTGCAATTTTTTCCCAAAGTTCTCTACTGAGCGCATCTCTTTTCCAGACTCAGGCTGTGTCTTTCTGATTGCACAATCCTTCGTCACATCAGAAAAGGCTGTTACGGCGCCGGTACACTACAACCTTCGAGTTCTCGAATGTACATTGGCTGCGGTGGTGCTTGCCAAGATCTGCGATATCAACTTAGAAAAGGATGAAAGCCCTCTAGGATATTGTCTTCGAAACTTGCAAGAGCAGATAATGAAAAAATCAGGTCAAGCGAGCGACTCGCCTGAGACTCAACTATCCTCCATGATCGACATCGTCAATGCGAGACTCACAATGACCAGTTATACCAGGGAAGAGATTGCATATTTACTGCAAATACCTACCGAGGAATTAGACAGGAGATACATTTCTCAGGTCAACGTTCGAGCGGAGTTCTTCAAACTTCGCCAGCGTGCCTTGCATGTCTTGGAAGAGGCTCGACGCGTTGATCGATTTCGCAACACATTAACCAACTGCGGCGACTTAAACAGGGAAAGATTGCTGTATCTTGGCGAATTGATGAACCAGACACAGGCTTCTTGCAAGACCCTGTACGAGTGCTCGTGCCCTGAAATCGACCAGATCTGCTCCATCTCCCGGTCCTCCGGAGCGTACGGCGCTCGTTTGACTGGAGCAGGCTGGGGTGGAGGTACTGTACATATTGTGCCTCAGGACAAAGTCTCAGCGGTAATAAATGCTCTCAGGACGGAGTATTATTTGAAGAAGGTCCCAGGGTTAAGTCAAGAAAAGCTACGGACGGCTATCTCGATCTTCAAACCTGGTCAAGGCTCATCACTCATTGGGATATCTGCGCTCGAGAGTTGACCAGCGGTTACAAATTAACATGCAATACTCATATCATATAATAGTCTAATAGAGCATGGAACAAAAGTAGCTCAATCCAGCATGTAGATTAATTGATGGTTTGCATTCTATACGCACGATTTAGCTTTCCACTTCCATATTCAGGTCTCAATCCTCAGCTCGTGCTCAATATCCATGCTCGTTGTAGGGAACGGTTCATGATGCATAGGAAGAGGGTAGGCTTGGGTGCCACACCGTCGAGGGAAGTCGTGGCACGGTTGTGTTTCTAGAAGCGACATGATCTCCGCCTCTTTTTCGGTCCACTTTTTTGGCATGGCTAGTTAAGTTAGTGAGGCGGCTTTCGGGAAACCAAGGTTCCCCTTGCATCCCCATGTGAGCATGCAGAGAAATATGGCGGTAGCGCCGCTTGGGGAACAGGAGAGACTTGGACCTATCAATTCAAGTCATTCCCGCCTCTTCCCCAGAGGGTTTTCCGCCCATCCCACCAGCCAGGCTGTGGTCTTCACGACCGTCGAACGACGAATTTCGCCGATCCAAGCCACGTTTCCATTTATACGTTTCAATCTGGCTCACCAGAATGCGATTGTGCTTCTCGATCTGCTCATTTTGACGAGATTGCTCGCTTTTGTTTCCCGCAAAGCGCATTTTCATTAGTCTTCGACCAGGATGGGTTCTATAGCGTACCCTCAGCCGGGGGACTCTCTGTTGAGACGTGAGTCTGAAGTGCATATCTCATACAGAATCTGAATGCAGTGTACTGACACCCTCACAGCTATCGTTGTCGACGGCAAGTCTTTTGCACTCAATGGCAAGAATATATCGTATCGCTTCCACGTCGACGAGACGACCGGAGACCTTTTGTCCGACCACTTCGGCGGCTTGGTCACCGAGAATCCCATCATCCCTGGAACAACGCCCTCGAGCGGTTGGTCCATGAACGGTAGCTTTCGTCGAGAATTCCCAGAGTCCGGAAAAGGGGACTTCCGGAACCCAGCAGTTTACATCAAGCACCATGAGGGCTTCACCGTTTCTCACTTTAGATTCCAGTCGTACAAGGTTTTTGACGGCAAACCCGACTTCCCTGAGATGCCGGCTACTTTTGGCAATGTCGACGAAGTCAAGACGCTTGTTGTGAGCATGTATGACGCATACTCGGACGTTGCGGCAGACCTCGTGTATTCGGTATTTGCGGAACACGACGCTATCGTGCGGCGAGTTGTTCTCACCAACAAGAGTGCAAAGCCTGTGACAATCGAGAAAGTGGCAAGCTTCAGCGTAGACATCCCTGCTGCTGAATATGACATGGTCTGCCTACGTGGTGAATGGTCCCGTGAGCGAGCTGAGCTCCGTCGCAAGGTTGAGTACGGCATGCAAAGGTCAGCGAGAACCCCCCATTCCCTGCTCAATGCCTGACCATGCTAATTGGGACTATTCACACAGCTTTGGCAGCACAACAGGATACTCTTCGCACCACTACAATCCATTCCTGGGCATCACCTCTTCGAAAACCACCGAGTCGTCCGGCGACGCCTGGGGGTACTCTCTGGTATACACTGGATCGTTTGCCGCCGAGGTAGAGAAGAGTCCTCACGGCTTGGTGCGCACCTCTATAGGTATGAACCAGTATCAGCTCTCGTGGGACCTTCAACCCGGCAAGACTCTCGTGTCACCTGAATGCGTCGCCGTCTACTCGTCCTCGGGCATCGGCGGCATGTCGCGCAACTTCCACCGTCTGTACCGTCAGCATCTCATCAAGAGCGTCTTCGTCAGCGAGCCCAGACCACCTCTCCTGAATAGCTGGGAATGTTTGTATTATGGCGTGAACGAGCGTACCATTGAGAAGCTCGCCGTCACCGCGGCGGGTCTTGGTGTCAAGCTCTTCGTGCTGGACGACGGCTGGTTCGGCGACAAGTACCCTCGCATCAACGACAAAGCGGGGCTGGGCGACTGGAAAGCCAACCCTGACAAATTCCCGAACGGGTTGAACCGTGTGGTTGATAAGGTGACCAAGCTCTCGGTAGCAGGATCCAGCAAGAGGCTTCAGTTTGGCATCTGGGTTGAGCCAGAGATGGTCAACCCTAAGTCTGAACTGTACGCTGAGCACCCAAATTGGGTAATGAGCGCTGGACTGCATGATCGAAGCGAGACTCGGAACCAGCTGGTTCTCAACCTTGCCCTTCCGGAGGTCCAAGATTTCATCATCTCGTCTATGACGACCTTGCTCCAAGGCAACGCCATAACCTACGTCAAATGGGATCATAACCGAGCCATCCACGAGAACTCGGCACCCCAAAACTACCATGCCTACATCTTGGGTCTGTACAAGGTGTTTGATACTCTGACAACTCGCTTCCCCGACATCCTATGGGAAGGGTGTGCCTCTGGTGGTGGCCGCTTCGACCCGGGCGTCTTGCAATACTTTCCTCAGGTCTGGGCATCCGACAATATGGACGGCATCGATCGCATCAGCATCCACTTCGGTACGTCTATAGTGTACCCTCTGTCGAGTGTAGGCGCGCACGTGGGTGCCTCACCCAGCCACGTTACCAAACGCACTCAGTCGCTCAAGTTTCGAGCCCATGTGGCTATGATGTCTGGCTCATTCGGGTTGGAACTCGACCCGGAGACGCTTGACGAGGCCGAGAAGAAGATGATACCTGACCTCATCTCGCTGGCCGAGAGGGTCAACCCCATCATCATCACCGGCGATCTCTGGAGGCTGAGATTGCCGGGGGAAGGGAACCACCCTGCTGCCATGGTTGTGTCGCGAGACGGTAGCCAGGCTGTGCTTTTCGCCTATCAATTGCTGTCCACGGTGATGCATGAGATTCCCGTCCTCAAGCTGCAGGGGCTGGAGGCCATGGAAAGATACAAGATCGACAACGGCGCCATCTATTCCGGTGCTACATTGATGAATGGCGGTATCCAGATTGCTTTCGAAGGCGACTGTGATAGCCGGGTCATGTGCCTGGAGCGACAATAGGTGGAGCATTTCTGCCATTGGCCACCGTACGATTACAAGGGCTTGTGTCAAGTTTCGGGTTTATGTTTCTGGTCGTTGAATGAAGTAGGAGAATGTGGATCGTAGGAAACCGGGACCAGTCATCGGAATTGCTGCCTGCACAAGACTGTACACAGCAGAATGAATCACTCGAGATTTACCGTTGCTTGCGCCAATCTGCGCTGATCCCTGGCTGAAGAAGTATTCGTCGTTCGCTTTCGCCACCCTGAATCCTGATGAAAGGGCTCATCATGAAGCAGTACCTAAAGCTGAAAACAATATTGGGCAAGATTGACGAATCTAGACGCCACATGGAAGCCTGGATGATGTGTGGAAAGTGCACTGAGGTTCCTTGCGCGATAGTACAGAGATATATACCGCCAGGGCGTCCGCCAATTCAATGTACAGAGAAGTGAATCTGTCAAGTTCTCTCGGTCCATTAATATCAAGATTAGCATATTCTCGAAGAACGAGAAGACAACTGTATTCTCAAAGCTTCCCGTGCGCCAGTGATGATGAGATTGCTACTCCGGCACATTCTCCGTTGTTTCAAGATGCTTGCTGTCTCCGGCGTTGGTCTCCGAGTCACTGACCTTGATCGGGATCTTGTCGAGTGGAGCATCGATATGGGAGTTGAATTGCTCGGTGGGATTTCGAAGGAAAGCCGACACTAGATGATATGAAATTGATTAGCAGTGTCGTTTGCATTCCAACCAGAAAAGGTCTGAACTTACAGACTAGACCCAAGAATGCAAAAGCCGCTGTGCAAATGAACACGTCGCGAAATCCAACAACATAGGCTTTTGTAATCGCCAGCTTTGCAGCCTCCAGAATCTGTGGTGTGATGCCAGGTAATTTGGCCGCGGCTTCAATCTGTCCGCCAGTGAGGTCTCCTATTAAGGAGCTGATAGCACTGCCACTTAGACCCAAAGGCTCAACTGCTGCAGTGACCTTTGGAACGAGATTCGAGGTCAAGCCATGATGAAAAATGGCAGTAGGGATCGCCACTCCGATCGCTCCCCCCACACTCCTCAGAGAACCCAAGAGACCAGACGTGATTGAGATGAGCTCGGGTGGAGTGGTCAATTGCGCCGCAGTGATTAGTGTAATTAGGCATGTTCCCAGGCCGGCGCCGTAAAAGGTAATGAAGCCCCAAAAATGCGCCTCAGGTGTGGATGCTTTGTTCGTGGCCATCAGAACGAAGAAGATCAGGAACCCGATAAACGAAGCCATGGCGGGGCCTCGCACCGTTCTCGTCTTATGGATGTAGATCCCAACGCCTGTCGAGACGACGAACAGTGTGACGAATCCGACAGCGTAGCACACGAGAACCCGAAACGTGGATATGCCGCTTATAACCGTCTCCATCTCGTATGGAAAGTAGACGTTTGCAGAGTTGAATGCGAACCCTTCGATTGTGACGCCAGCGAGAGCGAGCGAGAAGTTTCGATGACGGAATAGACCGTGGTGGAAAAGGCCGTCCTTCTTAAACCTGACCTCGTATATGATCAAGACAATCAGTACAGTGGAGCCGATCACGAAAGGCGCCAGGATATGTGCATTTGGCCAGTTGAATGGGTTTTGTGAGTAAGACAACCCCAGACAGAAGAGGACCAGGCCAGTGTCGAACAACATGTATCCAGTCCAATCCAGGGCGCGAAGCTTCTGCTTCAACGTCATCGACAGCTGAAGGTCTCGTGGAGGTGGGTTGTACAGCACCGCCATGATGATAGTGGAAAATGCATACACGCCAGCGCAGATGTACCAATAAGTGCGGAAGCCGGCAGGATGGTTGTTCGTCAGCGCACCTCCGACAGTAAGACTGGTGATTGCACCGAGTGCTATCGAACTGTTGACGCATGCTTGCGCATAGGAGCGATACTTTCGAGGGATGATCTCAGAGCCCACGGCATGGACCAGTGGCTGTGCCCCAAACGACACTCCCCCAAGCACAAAGCCTACTATAGCCACTTGCATCGACTGAGCGGTTGCAACGACTATGCTGCCTATCAAGCCAAAAGATGTAGGAATGACAAGGAGCCATTTCCTTCCCTGCCACCGTTGGTTAGCTCCTGTCAGTTCACAGACCGTGTTGAAGTTCGACCCCATTCAGACACCGATACACCTGGGCATTATTACCACGGCTTTACGGGTGACTTACCCAGTAGTCCGCAGCTTGTGCAACTGGAGGTGCGAAGGCAGCTGTTAGGATCACAATGGACGACGCAGGCCAGGAGGCAATAGATTCTCCACCCACAACTGCCGCGATATCACGGGGGTACACGCCAGAGCCAACGATGAAGAGCAACTGACAAAAATACTGGCTGCATATTGCCTGATTAGAGCTTTGGTCAGTCATGAGTCCCTCTTGCACAATAAAGTGATCATACCAAAAGGAGCAATGAAGTCCTGAAGGGCCTCCAGTCCAAAATGTCGTCTTTCTCCGGTGGTGTTGTGTCAATACGAGCAGCCGATTGTTCTTCCATTCTGTTACCGACTCCTGGATGCCCCCTTTACAGGCTTTGATAGTGACTTGGGAGATCAATACTATCTCCATCCTCGTTCATATCTTGTGTTTATATCAAAATTCACCCGAGACTCTGGGGTAAGATGTGCCAGTGATGGGTTCTCCACCAAGCCCCATACCCCAGAAGCCGGCCTCCATCGATATAGATCGTCTCGCATTTGTGATGAGCCTTGTCCACGATAAACATGGCGTGGTCGGAAAGGCATGGAGTCCTGTGGCCCAGCATAAGGCGTGGGGTGTCCGCTCGGTACCTGGTTCCGATACAGACGATTAGGACGGACGAACGTGTAGACACTAAGATCTTACTGTGTCGAGATGCTGATCACAGGGAGGGTTTCAATTTGCAGCGCGTCGCGATGACAGAATAGCTGTGTGGGCACGGGATGATTTGGAGTGGTGTTGCTTTGGGTAAGCATTGTGAACCTTAGGATCACGCATATCAAGCTGCCTAAGGGAATTTGGAATGAGACGGATGTCATTCCAAATGTTATCTCATGGTAACCCCTAGCTGTGCCGGTGTATAATAATCTTCCACTACATGAATTGTACTGAGATTAATACAGATGTGCAGATGCTGTGGCCACGTACCTTGCCGCCCAGCCACCGACTCAGTCCCCTTTATCTCTGTGCGTAGTGAATTTATAGTGAGACTATAGTACTAATACGAACGATACTCACCTCTTTCTCATCGAAGTCCTGAGAAATAGATGGGCACATTATCTAAGTGAGCATATCATCGTCTTTCCTCCCTTGATCCGGACCTCATCTCGCCTGGAAATGGGTCTGCTCAATCTTGACAACCACGGAACGTGGCAGGTTGACTTCCCCAGACTTACAGGGACCTAGGTTTCGGGCCGGACAGTAGTGGATGAACTAATGATATGGCTGTTCCGTCCAAATATGACCAGCCGCCTTGGGAATTCTAGGATCGGGATCCGTCTGAGAGACTGGGGGAAAGCTTAGTTCACGAACTGGAGGTATTCAGCAAGCTTCCATAGCTACTTCAGTATACCCAGACCCTCAAGCTCTAGCCGGGTGCGAACAGTCATAGTCAGGATAAGGTTTATGATGCACGGATTGTTGGATCCGACTTCGTGTCTTCAAAGGTTTTTGGATGGTTGTTTTCCGGTTTAAAGGTGGTGAGAAGGAGGCGAATCTGACCACGGCAGATTAACATGGACATGACGAACCAAAAGAACTACTGATGAATACCTGCTACTAACATTCCAAGAAGTCACACCAGTCTTCCTCAATGCGTTTCACCACTTCCCACAACTCTGCCGGGTTCTTTAACTCGCCCATGTTCTGTACCAATTCACCCTCCTGCTGATGCATTTCCCAAGCCAATATTCCTTCCTTCAAGCTTGTCTGATTGACAGAAACGTGGTTCTTGAATGCTTCTAGGTAGGCATCTGTGAACACTTGCCACCGTGGCACATAGTATGCGCCGATAAGTCCGGCCCAGTGACGTGATGAGTAGTCACTGATCTCGCCCTTGGGACCCCAGAGCGTAACTTGATTGACGGCGTTTCGAGCCATAGTGTCCTTTGCACAGGAATTGTTGGAATGAGACCATGAGCAAGCAGCATTGACCCATGAAATGAGTGATGATTCAGGCGATTTACTCGGAGTATATCGTAATACGTTGTCGAGCGTTCTGAGGAGCAACAGCATTTGGCTCTGGGTCTGAGTAGCGGCGTTCAGAGAAGTTTGGTGGTCAAGACCTTCACTTGTAAGGTTGGTGTGAGAAAGGAACGCATTGTACAAGGGATGAAATGCATTCGCGAGCACTTGCCGCGTTAGATCGACAAGATCGAACTGATATGCCATGTTCGACCGCAGAGACGGCAGTGTGTCGGCTGCACCGAGAAACGTGCGCCAAGCTGAGGTCAGAGTACTTGGATCGTAAATGATCTTGGTAGGAATATGGGTCGGGCTATCCAAAAGACCAGTTTCGTTGGGAGCAAGCTCAAAGATTGATTTTGGCGCTGAGAAGACGGACGTCAAATCGGTATTATTGTAAACGGTCCGCAGTAGAGAGTCCCATGTCTTGTATATAGCTTTTGGTAGGTCGCCGCTTGAGGCATCGGCGTATCGAGTCTTTGCCCATCCATGGAAGTATCGAGGTAAATCGATAGGGGTAGACGACCATGCTTGGGACAACAGTCTATCAACGAATGCCATCAGCATGGGTTAGTAGGGTGAAAATGGAACACTTACAGATCATACATAATCTCATTGCCCTCCTGGGCTTCCATGGTGAGGCCGAAGCCCATAAGCGACGACGAGTTAGCTAAAGCTTCCACTGCACTGGTCGTTACATTCATGACTTGACCATAGAGTCCCTGGTTCCCACCAAAGTCATGGAGCTGGCACCAGATCCATGGCTTGCCAAAGTAAGAGTCCAACTTTTGCCACTGCGGATATGTTTCAGAGTACAAATCCAGAATCAGCATGTCGTTGTCTTCAGGTACTCCGTCCAAGAAAGCCTTCACTCTTTCTCGTGTCCAAAAATCTCGATTGTAGAAGAACAACCAGCCTTGAAGCATCCAAACAGCGTCTGGATCTGCATCCTTCAGGCTCTTCCAGACCGTGTTGGCAAGGACAGCTAGATCTTTCGGCTCTCCAGATATAGGATCATTCTCGTTGAACTGGTCGAGGGTATATATATGAGTAATATTGCCATAGTACTCCTTTTGCTTCTGTAAGAAACTCTTCTGTAGAAGTGCGAATAGCGGATCGGAAGGCCTTAGAAATGTGACATTTGAAAACTCGGAGCTAAAGCCATTCCACCGCGACATGTTGACTACATCCGCTTCAGGAAACAGTACTGGAAATGCTCGTGGCACAAACCCAGTAAAGGCTGGTAGGACGGGGGTCATTCCGAGCTCAATCATGCGCTTTAGGATCTTCTGTTGCAGCTCTAATTGCGAATCGATCCAAGACAAGGGGAGCTCGCCCACCCACGAGCTCTGAATATTGCCAAGCCGGTTCCATGATTGAAAAGCAGGACCACTGAAGAACTCCAAGATCTGTTCTTGGACAAATCCGGCATCCAGAAAAGTCTCCAGTAAGATTTTTTCGTAGCCCACCCAGGCTAAGGGTAGATTGACACCTCGTAAAGCAAGCCAGTCGAGCTCATGCTCCCAGTCTTCCCATGACCAGAAGGCTGTGGTATACGAAAAAGTGACTGCAAATATCAGCCTGAGGGCAGTGTCCCGTTGTTCTACCACATACCCGTGTTGAAATGATATCTCCAGGGAACAACACTTGACCCATTTAGTGGCTCGCATGCAGGCAAGGCCTGGAGCTGATGCAACTTGCTTCCGATGGACCAGTAGATGTCAACGTGCGCAACATCAGCAAGGTAGCGGTGCAACCTGTGACTTGGTTAGTTATCGAAACTCCTGGTCTGGCCAGTACCAACCCTGAAGCTAGAGCAGTGACGGAGTTTGCCTCAACTTTCACTTTGCCGGCATCACAATGAACCACGAACTGGTCGTTTGATGCATTTGAAGTGTATTTATCTTCATGAAGGATAAATGAGATGTTTTCTGAAAGTTGTGGGAGGTGCCGCTTGACCAGATCCGTCAGGCCTTGTATAGAGCCAGATGAAACTAGCGGAGCGGATGCCAACAAGGCGGGCAATATCACGCGTGGATGCATGCTAGGGAGACTGCTTGCTTCTGTGGAGACGAGATTCGGGCCAACTGCAGGCTTTATGGCAATTGCAGAGGACTGCCTTGTTTACTCTTTGCACTTCACTAGCCTGCAAAGGTAGCTCCGATCATGGCTCCAACGATCTAGCGTCGGTGGAACCAGAAAAGCATAGTCGCTGCGGATATGGTTGTGACGAGGTTCTGGTGATGCTACAGGAATGACTCCATGAGAATGCAATCGCAACTGTTCATGTACATCCGTGTATGTGACAATCTTGCCTAACAGACCGTTTCGAGGTATTGTGGGGAGGTAAGGCGAAGGGGAGTATTGCTGCGATAAGACCTCTCGGGCCTCCAACATTTCGGCAGCAGGTGTGGGAAGTAAGTTTCGTACTTTGTGGCATGGTCAGAAGTCTCTCTCCTGCAGGTGTGTATAGGACGGTGTTTTGCTGATAACAATTATGGCGATGAAGCGTCTGGACTCGGCGCCGACCACCGTGCCATTGGAGTCACGTTCCGAGCTGCCTTGGCCATTACTCATGTGCACCTCCCTAGAGTTGCGAATTCGGAAGCGGTTGGACCTCAACCTAAGACCTGGATAGTAGGTTAACCCCACTCCCAACCCACTGCTATAAGCGAATACGCTCATGCTCACCGTCCTCCAGAAAGTTGACAAGCTTTGCAGTTGGACAACTCACGAGATCATTTCCGCCTTCTCAACCTGGAAGTAACTTTCGGTGACGGCTTCGACTTAGAAGACTCCTTCGGCTGCTTCTTTCGAATCTTTGCGGTCGGGCTCTTGCCATCAATCAACCCTTTCACAAGTGCGTCAATTCGCTTCCCTCGCGTCTTCGCTGACCCTGTGTGCAGTTTCCATAGCAATGAATACCTCTCTGTTTTGCTCATACCATCCAAGACCGACGCTGCTCCAGGGGTGGCATTCAGCGCGTCGGCAAGATCATTTGGTATTGTGATCGTGGCTGGACCTGCGTAGGCTCGGTCCCACCGACCATCGGCCTTTGCAGCCTCCACGGCAGCGAGTCCTGCCGGCTTCATACGGCCGGATTTCAGCAACCGGGCAACGGTGTTCACATTCTTCTGTGACCATATACTCTTAGCTCGGCGTGGAGTGTAGCGTGCCAGCCAGAACTTGTCATCAAAAGGCTTTGCCTGACCGTCAATCCAGCCAAAACACAGGGCAACTTCGACAGCCTCCGCTGCAGAGATGGATGCAATTCCCGACCCTTTCTTGGCTAGTTTGAGATAGAATCCTGGGGCTGTGCCATGCTCGCGGTCAAGAAAAGCTTCAAACTCGTCCACGCTGGCAAATGGGTAGATAGGCAAGTCTGTCGGTGTCCGATTTGCAGACATGGAAGCGGGTAAAACACGTCGTTTATGATGGTTGAATACCTAGAAGAGAACTCAAGACCTGGAATGCGATTCAAGAGCCGCAGCATATGGCCAGGTGCATCAAAATACGAGATAGTAGAAGCTCTAGAAGCCACTTTACGCGTGGTTGCAGCCCTGTCGCGTCCATGTCTGCAAAAAGCAAGTGTGCCGAGCGTAACGAGGCTGGCCTGGCCAAGCGCGTCAAGGCGATCGCAACATAGTCACAACCTGATCGCGTTTCTTCTACGAAGTATCGAGTTTCTCCTTTGACCCGCAAGTGTTCACAGGGACATTGAAACCCCACCTTACTTGTGGGTGAAGCCCATTTCGTCTGCTTCGTCCCAAATGGGCAGCCGTTGAACTTGAGGCACAAAGTTCATTTGACAGGCCTGTCAACGAACGCACTGAAGCACCACCTTCTCCAGTATGGCCAACCAGCATAGGAGGCGGCGCCACGCAGTCTTTGAAGTCGGCGAGATGGTCCTTATCCCCTAAAAAGCAGTGGGCAAAGACGTTGAAGGCTTCGTTTCCACCTTCAACTCAAACTTCTGGCAATTCGCACTTTTGAAAAACTTACTTCAGACAACTCCAATAGATGAGCATACTAGCGAAAAATCAGGTGATAAACACAAGGTGACAATGGCAGGGCTTCTCAACAAGAAGTGCTTTGCAGTGCTTGAACCTCCCTAATCTCATGAGATTACAACCTGTCGATAAACGGCGTAATGACGGTTTGCACCCCTATCGACATCCATGCCTCGGGAAGCATTGTTTGTTCTTTTGTACTAACTTGGCTAATTGACTGACGCTCAATTCTAGACCATCGCTGATCAAGCTGTCAACCCGCACTGTGCCATCTACTTTGACAGTTGTCTTCCAAGAGATCAAGAGATCAACGCTGCCCCGGATCTGGCGATTTAGTCTTGCAAGATATCCGACCTTTTAGCTCGTGTTCGGCTAATAAGCCCCATCTCTTTTCGTTTCCCTCTCGTTCGTTGGACTGTGCACGCCATCAAGCAGGCCACCAGGCTTTGGCCACTGCCCCTGTGAGCACGGATTGATCTTCCTTCTCTACTTAGGCCGTCAAATCAACTGTCGACTAAATCGCCATCAGCCGCTTGGATCGTTGTGGCTGAACGTCAATCGAAATTCATAAGGGTGATGGCACCTGTAGCCTGGTTACCCATGCAGGCCCTCCGCTACAAAACTACGCTCCAAGAGAGAAACGGAATCGTCATAAAGAGCGTGCTCCCATTCGAATGGAATTGGCGTTCTTGTGGTTATGAATGGCGCGGTCTGGGAAGTTCCACCGCGTTTAACTTTGGATATTGAAGGCTTAGGCTTCGCCAGCTATATTTCCCCTTCCCAGAACTAAATCATCATAGACCACATCCCATGCATTTCCGGACGAAAAGCTCCCTGATGGGCTACCATCCCACTCACTCGCAACATGAGCACCGTCGCAGTGTACATTCCTTAGGTGGCAAAGATGAGGCTAGCGAAGCAAATTCCTACCCAGAAACATTCAATGCGTCCACCGCCTCAGCGTACTCCTCGATGATAACAAGACGCTGGGACGACTCCAGAGGAATTTTGAGCTCGTGGTGTTTCATTCCTGCGAAGGCGATCTTCTCTGTTTCGTCATCTCTACTGTCAATCCTGACTCCAGGTGAAAGTTCAGCAGAGTACAATGCAAGACCGACGTCCAAAGTCACGTCCCTTGACGGACTGCGAGGTGTCGCCTGCCTCTTCGTATTTCACGCCCATTACGCCTATTCCTTTGGCAACTGTCTCGAAGAAGCTTCACCTCGGATCTTGAGCACGAGACTCATGTATCAGCCGTTCATCTCCTTACTCTGGTCCGGAATCGCCATGGTCGATGTCTTCTTCTTCATCTCCGGATACGTTCTTGTGTCCAAGCCATTACGTCTGCTCTACGCGCACAACACCTCGACCGCGCTGTCGTCGATATCGTCGGCGGTCTTCCGGCGGGCTTTCCGTCTCTACCTCCCTTCGATGGCCATGATTTTGATAGCTTCGGTCCTGGCGGGCTTGGGCTTTTTCGACCCCGGGACCGGTTTCTACAACATGAGACACGACGACGTCAGAGGACCCCAGGAGCAACCGCCCGCTCGGCTTTCTTCCTTGACCGCTCAGATCTACAGCGGGCTCAAAGATTGCTATCGTCTCATGGACAACACGATCCCCTGGGGCAAAGCCAACTTCCCTTACGAAAGCGAAGACGCCGCGCGGCCGTCGGGCATGGTGTACGACCGTCACCTGTGGACCATTCCGGTCGAATTCCGATGCAGCATGCTGGTATTTGTGATGTTGCTCGCGACTTCGCGGATACGACGGAGGTGGAGACTGGGCGTCCACGTCGCATTCCTCGTCAACTGTCTTTTCACGGAGCGGTACCCGGAGTCGCTCTTCATCGCCGGAATACTGCTCGCCGAAGTCGACACCAGCCACCGCCACAAGTCGAGCAATTCGACTTCGTTGTCGTCGTCGTCCGGATCAAAACTCTACGACGACGACAACGACGACAACATTGGAGCCAAGCTCCCCGGATCACCGAGTCACCATAACAGACTATCGTCCATCGGACGGATGAATGCGTCGTTGACAGGAGGAGGTTCGCGAGACTTGCTGGCCCTCGTCATGTTCGTGCCCGGGCTGTATCTCCTGTCCATCCCGCCCCAGGGGCCCGATCAATACCCCGGCTTTGCGGGCCTGGTGAGCATGGTGCCCGAGTACATATGGGCCAAGGATCGATTCATCAGGGCCGTCGGCGCCGTCATGACCACGTGGCCCGTGGCCAACTCTCCGGTCATTTCGCGACTGTTCACGAACTCGTTCGCGGCCTACCTCGGCCAGATCTCGTTTGCGCTGTACCTGGTGCACGGCTCGCTCATCAAGTCCGTGTGGTACGCTCTCCAGCCGATCATGGCCGCCTTCATCTACCCCGACCCCACGGTCCCCATGTCGACGCGACAGTTTGTCGACCTGTGGCTGTCCGGGTACGTGGTGATGCTGACCGTGGTACTTTTGTCCGCCCACGTGTTTTGCAAAGTCATTGATGAGCGATCGGTGGCCTTTTCGCAGTGGCTTGCAGCCAGACTTCAAGACAGTTGACGGGCGCCGTTTGGAGAGCCCTCAAGCTTGTCGTCAACTCCGCACTGACTGGCATGGCGTTTTCAAAGGAATCTTGTCCGCAGGATATGTCACGGTATGTTTTATCGGCTGTAGCATTAGCATTAGCATTTACGAAAAGTCTGCATCGAACGTCTGTCTGACTGTCTGTCCCCCCTGACCCCTCCGCATCTTCAAAGACTTGTAGAACATCGCGCATCCCCTTCCCCTCGCTATGATGTTACGATTACTTTTTTATGGCCTCCCTTGCGATTGCCTGGGAGGACAGTAGGTAACGCTGACTGGCACACAATATCAACAGTACCCCACATTCCAGAGAAGAGCCCCTGGCATATTTTTGCAGTAGTTCGCTCAGCATTCGGTCGTTTTTCGGTGTTGCCCGTGCTCATATGTCGTGTCTCGGAAGGGGGAAATGACCACGACAGAAAAGCGAATGGCGCGTTTTGACGTGTTGACTCTTGACGGCATCGTCTTCATACTTGCAATACATTGTCAATGCAAACACCATCTCAGTCAGGCTCAGTATTCTTTAGCTTACAGTGCAAATCAAGCAGGTATGTCTGTATTCGTGCTTGGGTAGGTATGTTCGTATTCTGCACTATGTGACTGTCTTGGCTCCGGAGGATAAACAATGTACATAAGAAGCAAGAATTGCAAGAATGCAAGAAACAAGAATGCCCGTGTACGACCAAAGAAAACACCGAGGGAAAGGAAAGTAGATACTCCCAACAACCCCTTCCGACGCTTACTTGTGTGCAGGGATCCCTTTGTTCACTCAGTCACTCCGTCACTCACTCCCACTTGACAAACGACTTTGCCTGGAGCCACCTTCCAAAATGGACGATTATCTTGTCGACGCGAGCAAAGTAGTCCGCCACCCAGATCAGCAACAACGTAATTGCCAGCGCGCCAGGGAGAAACGCGAGCGTCGAGTCTCCCAGGTACGTAACCTGCCACACCAGTATTGTCTGCTGGTACACCGAGTAGAGCAGGATGACGTGCATGGCGTACATGCCGAACGAGAGGTCGCCGATGTACTGCGAGAAACTCCACTCAAAGGGCCTCTGCAGCGTCGGGTTCAAGTCGATGGCGAGCACGCTGCAGCAGGCCGCGATCGACGGCCAGAACGTGTACGCGGCGTCGCCGTACCATGACGGGATCACGCGGTAGAGATATTGCCACGGCCAGGGACCCGTCGAGCCCAAGGCAGGCGGGTCGGGTTGGCCCAAGAGAAACAACCCGATCGCCAGCAAGAGGTACGAGGTGACTCGGGTTAAGGCGCGCGGTGATGGTGGTGGTATCTCACCAGATCCATTTCGCTGGTTGTGCTTCTCGTTTATGGTGTCGTTCGTGGCGGTGGTAGCGTTGGTGTTTGCCGAGGCGAAGGCAGGGGCTAGACTTGGATTCTGCAAACCGTGGCGTTCCGGGTGCAGAACTAACGACAGCTCCGCGAGAAAAGTACCAAACACGAACTCGACGACGTAGGCGACGCGCCAATAGTAGCTCAGCGCAATGATGATCCACGCGAAGACCATCCGGCACCTCGTCGTCATCTTGCACGCCGCAGCGCAAAAGACAAAGATGATGATACTGCCGCGATATTCAACCGGGATGGTCCACATTTGACCCAGGTAGTGTGGGAAAAAGACACCGTCGTGGATCCAGCCCTCGATATTGGCGAACGGGTTACTGGTCGCAATGGTGTCCTGAAACCAGGCCCACAGCTGGGCAGGCAGGGAAGACAGGCGAAGGTCAGTGAACGGGCCGAGGAGCCAGCCAAAGTAGATGCACCATGCGGACAGGTGCGTTGCAAAGGCCGTCGACAGGTAGAGACGAAGATAGCGGCGAAATATCGATGAAGCCAGGCTGTCGAGAAGTCTGGCCGACTCTTGCATCCGGATCAGCTTTACGAGGCGGTAGCTTAGCACGTAGCCGGAGATGACGAAGAATACGGCCACCATTCCCGCGCCTCCAACCCAGGGCACCCGGATGAGAGGCCAATGGAAGAAAGAAGGTTCCGGGAGATCCCAGAAGTGGTATATGTAGACAAACACCGCCGCGTAGCCGCGGAGGGCGTCGAGGTATGATGTCGGCGACCGTCGTTGTTCGTATTTTTTTCGGCCACCAGGTTGGACATAGCGAGGCACGACTGCCCAGGGATCTATCGACCATGATGATAACCAGGTCTTTTTGGACTGTGAGGGCAGGGAGATGGACTGTGGCGTAGCATGTTCGTAGCCGCCATTGGTGGTATCGGGTATTCCTCGTTGCTCGGCCTCGAACGATGTCTTCGAAGACGTTCCATTATGGTCGGAGCCGTTGAGGAGTGGAATTCCCTGCTCCTCCATCTCCGAGACGATCCTGGACATGGTTGTCTGAGGCGTGCAAGATATATGATTACCCTGTAGTCGAGAAAGGGTCAGAAAAGGAAAAAAAAGTGACCAAAGCAGGCTCAGTCAAAGTGAACAATGTCCAGAGAGAAGTCGTTCTTGTACGCCAGCGTTGCTAACGTACGAGGCGTTTTGGCCGGTGTGGGCTTGCATTGAGTGTACGTGAGCGGGCTCGGTCTCGTATTAGAATTGGGCACCTGTCTGCCATTGTGCGGGAATTGGACCCGTTGAGCAACCTTAGTTCTTATGACAGCTCACATCCGCTCTTGATCGAGAGGGTAAATGGAAGACGGCGGATGAACTTGGCTCGGCTCGCGTGGACAATGTTCAAAGTTGAAAAGGGGGCGCCGCAACATGCGGGTATGATCTGTGCATCACACTTGATACGTGAGGGAGATGGAGAGGGAATGTCAGTGCAGATTGGTCTGGGGAGGTGGCCTCTGCGTGTGCAATATGCCCACTTCCAATTCCATCCGGTCAGCCACACAGTCGCTCTCAAGTCCTTGGCCTCTCAGAGCGTTGTATGATGTATCAATAAGGAGCGCGCGTGCTCTCGGATCGACATTGCCAAGTCACTCAGTAAAAGTACACATTCAGATCCACTTACCCCGTGCTTGCTTGGATGACCGATGCCGGAGAGACATTATACAAACATAGCTGGTCTAAGCGAACCAGCGTAGGCAGAGGGTAGAGCAGGGATGCAAGATCCGCAGCCAAATGAAGTCTGAGCTAATCCACTTCGCCTAGCAATGAAGACGTGGTGTGAAAATGGGGATAGATTCAAAATCTTGAGGGAGGGTCGATAGATATTGAACTGGGGGGGTGGTTTTGGTCAACTAGAAGATCTTGGAGATGATGACAGTGCCGATCGATCTTCATGGATATGATGAGTCTCCCTCGTCTATCTAGCATGTTGGGGACACGAGATTCTCATGGTGCCCATTTGATATTTGACGTGTTGTGACAGCCTGATAGGCAGGGAGCCGGTAAAGTCAGATGTCACGTTCTCGCTCTAAGCGAGATCAGCGTTATTGCTGTGATTGCTCTGCCGAGAGTCTGTAGGTATTGCCACACCATAGCCGGCATTTCAGAAGGCGCACAATAAGGAAATTGGCATCTTCTCATGATGTTGTTGCTCATGAGGGAGACTTTCGGGACGCGATTTAAAGGAAAACCCGCCGCAAGTACTAGTCTTGCTGAGTCATCACGCCTCCGGGCTCACGTGGCAGTGCATCTCGCTGACGACTGCATCCACCGTACTGATAGTCTTCGGTCGGGCATAGGGACAGAGCAGGGACAGAGCAGGCAGAGATATCCCGGTCTTCGAGAACTGCTCAATGGACTGTGTATTTGGCTTGGGAAATTACAATTCAACTCGGTAAGGGAAGCCCAGTCTGAGCCACCTAACCAGGATCTTTCTCTGCGTCCTCCCACTGTACCTTCTAGTATCGGAACTGTGGTTTGTCGAACCTGGCCGGCTCACGTATCAGGTCTGCCCTCAGTTCAACTACGGCAAAGACGGTTGAACTGGGGGAAGGGCCATATTGTCATCCACCCGACAGAAGGAATCATCTTGCCACCAATCCAACGGTCCTGCTGCATTCACCAGCCGTTGCCACTCCTCGCTAGCCAGGCTGTAGTCAATCGCGTCCCACTCCCCTTGCTCTGGCAGGAATGCAGGTAGCTGCGCCACATCAGCGGTGTTCGGAGCAAAACGTGCTATGTCTGCGTGTTGGGAATCATTCCCCTCTACTTGCTGTGTGCTGACCATTTGCCAGGGGTCAGCCTCGGCAAGAGAATCTCGGGATGGTGCATCTGGATTGGAGCTCAGTTGGAAATCGGTTTGTTGGGACGGAAGAGACGCTTCAGAGTCCCCGGCTTCCTGTCGCATGGGCATAGAATCTTCCAAGCTCCTCGACGGGCCTGGAGAGGCTGAATTGTCCGTCGATGGATAGTTGCGCTGCTGTTGAAGATCCTGTCTCTCCCGTGCATTCCGCGTCATGACCACCAGAACACGCCTGAACGTCATTTCTAATATGTCATCGAGCATCCTCCGCTGTTCGGAGTTGAGAAGAAGTGCTGGGGCATCCAGCTCTGGCGCAAGAGCGTCCGCCAACATTTGCGGCGCCTCACGTTCGAAGTAGCTTAGGATATGCTGGACGCACTCTTCATTGTAACTGGTGATGAAGGGAGTGGTCGGCAAATCCGCCTGCGGGAAGAGGATGCGGAAGATGGCGAACCAGCTTTTGATTTGGTCTTCGCGCGGAGTCCTTCGTCTGATCTCAGCCATTTGGTCGACGGTCATTTTCTCTTCGAAGCGCGGGGGCGACACATTGCACGATCTCGTTCGGACATGCTCGTCGAGGAGTATCGCCGTCTCAAAGGATTCGAAACAACATGAGCAGTAATGCTTTGGCCGGCTGTGTACGCGATACAGATGTTGCTTGAGGCGGGGGATCGTTGTGAGAAAGCAGCTTGAGCATCCACGGTACTGTATTTCAGTCGTGTTGCGTTCCGAGTACCGCGCTGGATCGAACTTTGCATAGGGGCAGGCCAGAAGCTTGCCGTCTTGCCCAGGGCTGAGTTTTACTCTGCTACTTGGTCGCTTTGGGGGAGGCCTCTCGTTCTCTTCATCGCCTTCGTGGTCGGGGTGTGAGCGCTTATTGAAATAATTAAGGCTGGAGGTAGTTGTCTGTGAAGAATTTGAGCCCGATTTTGAGCTGCTTCTGAGATTTGAACCAGTTTGAGATCCGCGCGCCTGCTCTCCTCCCCCTCTTGCTCGTACGAGCAATGTTACGTATGCATCTGAAATGCGCTCTGTGGCTAGGCCTTTGATGATCGATTGCTGTAGATTCGGCAGCTCCTCGCCGTTGTATCGTAAATCCCCAGGGGAGGGGGTGGCCATGAATGAGAGTTCCCCTTCGGAGACCACCATATCTTCCGCATCGCTGCAGGTCGGGTGACTAGTAGTCTCGTACGTCCTCATGCGGGTCTTCGGCCCATCTGCTAATGGATGAGCGTTGGCATGAGGAACGTCCTCATCTTCAATGTTGCTCTCCGAAGACGGTGTCCCTGGTAAACTCTTGTGGCTCTCATCTTCAAGATCTGGAATATCGGGTGGGACTCCCAAGACTGAGGGAGCCTCGCTAGGGAGCCTGGTGACGAAGCGAGGAGTCATACCGAAAAACCTTTCATCTGGAACAGCAGATGAAGGAGGATCGATTGCAGGATCTTCATCTTTACGACTCCGCCACCTCTCGTCACCACTATCTCGTTCCCTGTCGCCACTGTGACATTTCTCCTTACGATCTGCGGATATGAGCTGAGCCTTGTGCTCCTCCTGTCTCCTTTGTTGTTTTGCTCTGGCCCGCCGATTCTGGAACCAGTTCTGTCTCACCGTCAGCTCCGAGCACTTCATATGTGAGGGCTACATACCGCGACTCGACCAACTGACAAACCGGTCTGGATGGCTAAATCTTTCTTGGTCTGAGAGCTGGGTTTTCGTTCAACCTGGAAATGAGCCTCCAGGGCCTCTGCTTGATCCTTGGTGAGTCTCGGGCGGGTTGAGATCTTTTGCAATCCTCCGTCCTCTTCGCTTATCATCCCTGGGTACCTGAAGTCGGCATATTCGGCTGCAGTGTAGGGTGTTAACCTAACACCCTGTGTCGGGGATCTCCCCGGAGAGCTGGCCACATGAAACTGGAACTGCATGCGCTGGCCAAAGTCGGACGACATTCTGAGAGATGTTCTCGCTTTAACAGCCCCGTCAATAAACCTGTGCGCGATCTTGTACACTAGGAATGTGGATGGAAGCAGAAATTGACCAGCAAGACTTGGGAAGGCAGCATTGGTTTGGCAGTGATATCTGATGACAGCTAAAGATGGTCTCAATATCGCAACTAAAACGCAACAACCCGGAAAATGGAAAAAAGAAAGAATTGGCTGAGGCGAAGGCGTGGGTTTGCAAACGCCCACGACGTCTTGATCACAGATGTGCATTCATGCGCACTGCCACACGGAATCCCACGACGACTCTGATTGGCAGTGGAAAAGCTGCGGGTTTGAGGCTACATAGGTAGACAACGCAACTTTGGCCCCTTTCAGTTCGACTTCGACTGAGCATGGGAGACAAGGAGTCGAGGTGCCAATGTCGACACATCAGAAGAACGATGCCGCGTTCCACCACCAAAGTCTGAAGTTTGGGGTGCATGTCCGGCAGACTCGTGGCAGGGAATGCGCACGAACCAAGACACGGAGGCTTTTTCCACCTGCTGCTGCCCGTATTCATCAGAGAGAGAGAGGAGCCTACGTGTTGTATACATACTTGGCGACTTGTGATGATCGGGATGATCGAGGAGCAATTGAGTCGGAATAGGGGCATTTCATCCTCTTCATGGAGAGAAACATGGGGTTTGGAGTGCTACTTTAGTACTGTACCTGAGTTTATGCTCCGTAAAGACGCCGATATCTGGCTTGCAACACCTTATCGTCCTCCATGCGCGGGGCCAAACTCTCTTATCGATTAATTTCCGCTGCAGGACTAAAAATGTCTTGTTGGCTTCAGCCGTCGCGGCCCCTATTCTGATTGTCTCGTAGTCGACAGAAAACCAGACACACGTGATGAGAAGGGACCTCGCTGTTTGTCTGTTACCATGATCCGTCCAGTCGGGTCGATTCTAGACTCTACGGGTGCCATACAAGCAGGTGGAAAGAGAGGAAAAAGTCGGTAGATGCTGCGCCACAACCAGACTCCGGTCCGAGCTCGTTGTTCCAGAAGGAGAAGAACAGGCTGGGAAAAGAATAGTCAGATTCGCACAGACCGTGAGAAAAACCTTCGCGGGTAAAAATAGATGTCGCGTTGAGTGCGACGGTGAGAAGTTGCAGCACCAGTCACTGTACTCGGTGCATACCCTTCAGAGGGAATCTGGCTCTCCTGTCCGGCTGTCCCACGCCGGCTGAAGGATCAGCTCAAACAATCTCAGGCGTGGGATGAAACCCTTGCCGTGTTCGTTTCGGCTATGCGCGACAACCAGTGCAAGCGTGGCGAGGTGGACGGCGAGGGTTTTCATCTCCGGATCGCGTCGTGTAGAGAAATCTCCCATTGGCGACGGCGACAGCAAGGGCGGCGGCGGTGGCACCAACACGGGCCTCGCTCTGCGGACAACCCTATCACAGCCTGTGAATGTGAATGCATGGGCTCCAGCTCCCCGAAATACTCGTAGACCCCTGCAACATGATGCCAGCCAATATTGTCCGAGCTTCTGCGAACCATCATCCCTTGATACAATACAGGTACAGGTATCCGTACCCGTCCTCGTACCTGGGAAATGGTTCAGCGTCGAACGCGATCACAAAGCCTAATGTTGCTGCTCCGCGATACTGTACTACTTATCTAACCCTCTCCTGTACCTCCTGTACCTACTAATCCATGTTGCTGCCGCTCCCCTCCGTCTCTGTCTCCCTTCGTCGTTGAGTCTGCTTTCCACAGCACTGGGCTGCTGCTGTTGTTGCTGTCGACCCTCGCATCCTTGGACGGCAACATGGCCCTCACTCTCCCTCGTGGCCTCAGCCTGGTAAAACTCACCGTCATTTTCGCCGTCATACTCTGCCTTGTCTTCTTCAAATCTCTCTTTTTACCGTCGTCGGGAGTCTCCCCCTACAACCTTGCCCCGGCCGCCGAATCCTGGTGGCATGGCTTCAAAGGCGACTCCTCCGCTGCCGTCAGCGACGTCGATACCGAGCTAGACTATTCCCAGCTGCAAGATGTCGACTTGACGTCTGAAATCACCGACTTCGAAGACCCTGTGCCTGCGCCGTCGTCAGCATCCTCCGCGGGTGAAGCCAAAGGAACTGCGCCGCGTCCGACTGCGCCTGGCCGCATGTACAAGCCCTTCGATCCCTCCGTACCAGCATGCCGACAACTTCCCGGCGCAGACAGGGTCGTGGTGATTGTCAAGACGGGCGCCACGGAGGTATTCGCACGGCTCCCCCAACAACTCATCACTCTGGCCGCGTGCGTACCCAACCTCATGATATTTTCGGACATGGAGCAAGATGTAGGACAATTCCATCTGTACGATGCATTGGATGAGATTGGCCCAGAATACAGAGACCACCATGAAGATTTTGACTTCTACCACGACATCCACAGAGCCCACGCAATGCACGGCGACGTGAGTCTTCTGGGTTCCCAGAAGGGGTGGAACTTGGACAAGTGGAAGAACATTCCCATGCTACACAAAGCCTACACTCAATATCCCAAGGCCGACTGGTTTGTCACCATCGATGCAGACACATACCTCGGCTGGACGAACCTGCTCTTGCTTCTCAACCGCCTCAATCCCGAAGACCCTCTCTACGCAGGCTGCGTCTACTGGCACGGCCCGACTCAGTTCGCCCAAGGTGGCACCGGTTACCTCTTGTCCCGCAATGCCGTCGAGAAATTCGAAGCCATCCGCACTCCCGAAAGGATTGCCGACTGGGAGAGAGAGACATCCACCATCTGCTGCGGCGATGTCATGCTCGGAGTTGCCATGGGCCAGGCCGGGGTCGACGTGAGGGGCTCGTGGCCCATGTTCCAAGTCGAGCCGCCATGCTCCCTCAGCTGGACCCCTCCGTACTGGTGCTCGCCCGCCATTACCTGGCACCATGTGCATACCTACGACATCCAGGCGCTCTGGGAGTTTGAAAAGACATGGATCAACCGGACGTGGACCGATGAGAATCCGGGCTCAGTACCATACCTCTATAAAGACGCTTTTGAGTATTTTGTGCAACCGAACATTGCGGATAAGAAACTCGACTGGAACAATTACTCGGGTGACAAAATTTTCACGAAACCCGCCGAAGACCACGTCAAGGAAGAACACGATTGGGACCACAAAAGTGACGAGGAGAAGCAGCAGATGTGGGATGAGCTGAATGAGCTTCAGAAACACTCCGTTGAATCCTTTGACGCTTGCCGCGCCGCGTGTTTGGACGACGGTGATTGCAAGCAGTTTTCATGGCATCCCGGCACCTGTAAGCTGAATGAATCCATCAAAGTCGGTCACGCTGTCGAAACCTCCGAGGAGTATGCGTCCGGTTGGGTTCTCGAGAGAGTCCAGGCGTTCAAGGAATCTCAGGGAACTTGCGAAGAACCTCGATTTTCCATCGATTGAGGAGTTAAAACCGAGAAATAGAAAACAAACCCAACACCAAAACAACAATCATATGGTCGCACCTAACCCCCGGTCGTCCCGGAGCTGGTGTCTGACTTTCAGGACAGGTCGATGCCAACCTCACAGACGGAAGAGGGTTCGACTCTATTGGAAGTCCACAGATGACTCCACCATCAAACATAGCAACATGCCTATCCCGAAACGCGAAATGTTAACAATTTACGACTATCATATCTCGATTGTGGAGGTCAACATGGTGCGGCGACATGTCTGAAATGCACACAGCGGTGCCGATTGGGACATGAGAGAAGACCGACTACAAAATTCGTAACTGAGAGCATCCATCACACGAACAGAAGTCTCGGTCAGGATACGATTGCTTTGGCATGACGCATGGAACAACTCAAAGACCACGCATACCGATCGTCCGTGTGATGACATTTTAGACACGGACCGAAAGCCCCGACATGAGAGGCCAAAGGAGACCATAAGAGAAACGACAAATTTGGTCAAACCACTTGAAATGACTTGGAAGGCATTAACGAGATGAAAGATGGATTCGATGGATCGATATATGTATGAATGAAGGAGGTTATACTACGACTACCTAGATCTTAGAATATGGGCGTGAAGGTTTTTTCCAAGATACCCCCAATTGTTGATTAGACTTGTTGAGCTACCAGATTTATTAGATACTTAGATACTTGTATACTACTACTACTTTTGTTCTTTATGACAGTTTTCCTTCTGAGTTCGATCCGACTTCAGGAGCCCCGGTGGAAGACCTCGTGGTGAATCCAAACATACCGTTCGGGGAATTCACCCCCTAATGGAACAATGATTCACGCGTCTGGCAACGCTGGACCCAGTGAGTCTTCCCAAATTGATGAGAGGCAACGAATTGTGACCTCATTCGACGAGGATTAAGAGCTGTTTTCCTCGCACACGAGACTTTGTCTTCGTCTCGTCTCCGACCACCGAGAACCTGACTGGATACCCCTATACGCGAAGACGAATCGAGTATCCTCCTGCCATTTCCTGGGCGACGAGAATCTGAGGACCCATGTTGGACCAACTGTCCTCAATGCCAGACACGGGCAAGATCTTGTCCTCTTCCCAGGTCACGCAGGCTTCTCATCGTTCGGCGGTACTTGGTCCGTATCCAGCGTGGGAGCCGTCTTCCTCGCAGATGTATCAGCTGGAGCTGACTCTGCCGTTATGTCTGGTTTCTGATCTTTGCTGACGCGAGGAGGCTCGACGTCCGGATCTCGATGGCGATTTGCGACAGCTGCATTGCTCTTCGCCGCCAGGTCCCCGACCGGTTCGCCGCCAACAACAGCATCTGCAGCTGAGCCTCTCGTGGCGGTGCCGGTGTCGGTCTCCGGAACGCTTTCGTTGGCCGTGAAGCCGTCGGTTACATCGTCAACGACGGCGGCGGCGGCAGCAGCAGGTATCTCCTGGGTTTGCTTGACTGCGGATGTGGGCGACATTTCGAACCGCGATATGATCTTATGGCTAGGAGCAAGAACGTACACGAAATGAAAACGAGGATTGAAGGTGGAAAACGATGAAGTCGTAGGACTCCAGCATGTACGTCATTTCCCAACAGTCGCCGGCAGAATCTTCCAGGCCGGTTTGTGTCAGTACTCGCACCACGAGAGAAGAGACGCCTGCTTCATGGGCCTGTGGCTACACCTCTCGACTCCCATACGAGTACAACGCTACCGCCACTGTCCACATATGCCCTCTTCCGAGTCGCCCAATACCGGGTCCTTGTCTGGCTTGGGGACCGACCACACCTGCTCATAATTGCCGGCGTTTTCTCCCCCTTTCGCGAAGTCCCATTCGCCCCCGTCCTGAGGGTACGCGCCTATCATGGTGAAGCCCGAAAGGTCAATGTTGGCGAGGGCCTCTCTCACGTCTTCCGCTGCCACACTGTGACCATCGCCAGGAGTCAACAGTTTGAACTCGGTCAGTGGACTCGCGTTGAACGTCTTATGGGCCGTGCCCGCCGGCAGGATGAAGACGTCTCCGGGACCGGCGCTGACCTCGACCCCTCCTTCCTCTCTGCCGTCACCATAGGTGCTCTTCTCCAGGTCAGAGTCCGTGTCGGCCACTCCAAAGCGAATGGTCGCCGTCCCCGTCAGGACGACCATGCACTCGTGCGCCATGCTGTGGTAGTGCGACGTCTGCGTCTGGCCGTACCGGAAAATCCACTGCGTCTTCCATCCGTTACTGGAGAAGAGATCGTAGATTTTGGTCGCCGCGTCATTGCCGGACTCTACGGACAGGAATCCGGGGTAGTGGAGCAGAGGTTGTGGAGAGTTCGGTATGAGCGCGGTTGGCGGGAGATTATATCGCTTGACCTCAACCATTTTGGCGGGAAACCAGGGGGAGAATCGAGAACGGGATAGAGGGCCTCTCTTTCTTGATGGGAGTGATGCGAGTTGATGATACCTCTGTGGGTGAGGGAGAAAGTACATGGGCAGGGTCCAGCCACCACCAGTACGTAGTTTAAAAGTTGTTCCCCTTGCTCTTCTTCCCCCCACAACGGACTTCGGCGTGTGTTTCTCGACTGTCAATGATGTTCATTTCAAAGCAAATACCTTACGATTTCATCATTACTTCTAACAGATCGCTAATCACTAATCGTCGATCGCTAACAGCAGCTACATACTATCAGAGCTTCACCATCATGGGGAAGATATAGTTATCGCTTCATCTGAAACGACAGCATCATTCTAGGCGTGCACGACCTTCTACGGAACCAACCATGAGCTTCGTGCTCATTCTCTACGCTCGCTCAGACTATCTCGGTATTGGTGATGGCGAGCCATTCTTCTTGCTGCTTGAGAAACTCTTTGATCGTTTTGGCGTCGGTCTTCTTGCCAGCTGTATGCTCCTCTTTCAGCAGCTTCAGCATTCGAGCGAGGCGTTCTTGCAAGACCTCGACACGGTATTCTGTCCACTGGAAGTATAGCTCTGAATGATCCGAGATAGGTCTAATGCTGGTCAGCACGGAGGAATCCCGAACAAATGGATCACGAGGCCGGAATGAGGTGATCATGGTGATACGTTCTGTGCCGCCCTTTGCAGCCAGTGCCTGGTGGAGGATGTGTCTCCCCTGAAGCACCACAGCACAGCCCTGAAGAAGATGTAAGCAGATGCACACCTCACGACTCAAGTAGAGGCACTCAAGTAGAGGGACAGTCTCGTAGAGCGTCGTACCATTTGGGGACCCCGAACTTTGATGAATTCGCCTGATCCAGTTCGGATGGCTGTCTCGCCCCCTTGCATCTTTGAAGCGTCGCTCATCATCACCACGCAGACAAACGGATAACTGTCGTAGTGCCATTTGGTGACGGGAATATCGTCATCGGATTGATTCTCTTGTTTCTCATAGTCCTTCAGTGGACCTTGGACGGAGACGTTGATGTTGCCGATGTCAATATCAATCTCCGGGACGAGATCGATCCCAGCAATCCTCGAGACGATGGAAAGCGTCCGTGGGTTGTTCCACGCATCGTACATGAAAGGTGCGTATCTTACCAAGGTATATACACGTCAGCCAACGCACACCCAACAACACACTGTTGAAGTGAAGGGAGAAGAGTGAAAATATCGCTCACTTTGGGCAATGACCCCTTAGTTGACAACCTGCGAATTCGGTGCTGTGCAGACAGTTGTCCCATACTTCTTGCTGAAATATCTCGCCCCTCATGATACTGATGGCGTCTTCCGTGAAGAGAGGAAAAGGTTCTGAAGTCGCAACCGGAGAGATGCCAACATCTTCTGAGAGACCGATATCTTTGAGCGTCACGATTTTGGGATCCTGTTGATACGACAAGTGCCTATCAGGGTCAAACTTCACACTTGGTCGTCCTTCTGAACCGCCTAGAGTCAATTTTTCGCTGATGATCGGGCTGATCTTGAAGCTGTGGACTGGTGGACGCGTCTCAACAGCTGCCATGGTGCAAACGCAAAACTATAATTTTGTGATCAACTGCAAGTCGTAGAAATGTCATCTACGGGCCAGTGCAATAACTTCTTTCGAGGGAATGAAGTCGATACGAAAGCATCAACCGGTTCTGTCACCTTTGATATGCTCCTGTGGCTTATCGGTACGGCTCGGCAGCGGATGCTGAGTCTGCAAGCGCGAACAAAGCGCTGTCAACACGTATCGCCACTCTCAGACCATTCAGGCTATCGGGCCGTCGTCAAGCTGGCCGTCACTATTTGGTCAGGTTGTTGGGCTTGACCTTATCAGGGCATCGAAAGCTCGAAAGCTCGAAAGCTCGCAGACAGTGACACATGATGCACACGGACCTCGAGGGACATGTGGACTGTCTCGAGAAACTGCCGAATTGGGACATTTAACCCCCTCATCACCCACGCATGCCATTGGATCGACGCGCTGAATCACCACCCCAGGATGCAGAGCGGATATCTCCTCCCCCTACGCCACGATAAATACTTCCAGGGGCGCGTATATGCTGATTAAACAGAGGGTTTGATACCACCAGCATTGCTGTCCATGAACAAAAATAAATGATGTATTGATCGTGGAAGACAACGATTTGTCAAGGGCCAGCAAGAAAGCAGCGTCACAGCCATTCATTCCATCACAAGGGGACCCACAAGTGGACGGAAAGAAAGAAAGCAAGAATAAAAAAGAACAGTAACCATGGGTCTATCCATGTTGCTTCCTCCGGAGCCCATCGATCCCGCATACCAGCCGAGCACGTCGATTGCGAAAATCCCAGCAAATGCACCGATTGAAGATATACTCGAAATCATCGAACGGGATGGAGGAGTCATCCTGACAGAGTTCACGTCCGCCGAAGAGCTCGCGGCCATTGATCGGGACGTGGACGCTCATCGAAAGCAGACGCGTGCCGAGAAGGGAGCGTTGCCGCAGATTCCAAAGGAGACGCTGTCCGTCGCTGGGCTCGTGGGGAAGTCTCCCACGGTGGCTCGCATGTGCGAGTATCCCGTGCTGGAGAAGCTACGCACCGCCATCCTGCAGGAGAAGTTTGACGTGATCCGCGAAGACTACGTCGACCGCAACATCATCGAGCCTCTCCTGAGTATCAGCCTGACGTTCTACATCGGGCCGGGCGCGCCTCGACAGAGACTCCACAGGGACGACAACACGCACGGAACACGGCACGCCGGGGAGGGCTCCTTCGACCTGAAAAGGGCAGGGCAATTCGCCTGCTTGGTGGCCGGGTCCAAGACGACTCGAGAGAATGGCGCTACGATGTTCATCCCGGGTTCCCACAAGTGGGATGACACTCGAGTTCCGCGCATAGACGAGGTCTGTTTTGCAGGTGAGAGAGACCCAGATGATTCTTTTTCTCCTTTTTCTCCTTTTTTCCGCCCGGCCTTTTTTTCATTGTGTTGTTTCCTTTCATCTCGGTGCAAGTACACCATGGTACAACACAAGTATCAACAGCGAAAAGTGCCATCTAAACCAAGATTGATCAAGCCATGTCCTAACAATTGTGTTTTTCCTTCATTCTGTGCTCTCCAGAGATGGAACCAGGTTCAGCTCTAATTTTCCTGGCGTCATGCTATCACGGCGGCGGCCACAATTCTACCAAGGACGAGGTGCGAAGAGTACACGGATTGTTCTTCGTGCGTGGAACCATGCGAACCGAAGAAAATCAATTCCTCGCCGTCCCGAGGAGTAAGGTGCTCACCATGAGTGACAAGATGTTGTCGCTGCTCGGATATAAGAAACCCACTTCGGCACTTGGGATAGTCGAGAACGAGGATCCCGCTTCGAATCTTCGAACTTTTCTCGACATGGCCAGTCAATAAGTGGCAACTCTACATCTACTACGTCGTTACTCTTTCGTCTATTTACGTCGTCACTATAGCGGGACTGTGTCGATACTTCCGGGTTTACTTCGCCTTTTCAGCTTTCTAAAGAGCTAGCTTTCTGTATGGCTCCTCATTTCTGGTATTACCGAATACAGATACAGGCGGTCTGAGTGATATATATGAAGCGTTATTTAATTGAGCGTGCATGGATCCAGACTCCACAGCTAATCGTCACTCAAAGATCTATTCATCGAGGGCTTTAAATGAAGGATGCGTAGAACCCTAAGCTGCACATTCGCCGCAGGAAGACCCTTTTTTCTCTCCAAATCCAGTTTACGACCAACCTGGTATCAGATTTGTCACATAGTCTACGAGTTTGATTCAAGACAAGGTCTATCGAAGCGATTGTATCTTTGCGAGGACAATGAATGTAATGGTGGACCCGCACCGACGAGAGCTGTCAAACTAGTCCGAAAAGAGGAAAAATATTGAGGTGTCGAGGGGCCCAGATGCTGGGATTGCGGGGATCTGCCTCGCGCTGGAACTCCCAGGCTCTTCTCAAAGACATAATCGCGACTACAAAGGCCCCGACATTGTCGACATCTCGATCATACGTATATATGTACTTAATCAGAAACGGTCCTTGTGGCGGACTACTTGAAAATACAGAACGAACAAAGTGTTGGCCTTGTGTCGTGAGCAAAACACTGAAAAGAACTTCGCATCCAAAATGTCTCTCCCGACAACACTCCCGGCAAGCTGGTACTCGAGTCCAGAACTGATGCGGCTCGAACGTCGCGCGGTGTTTCTGCGAGCATGGTTCTTTCTGGGTACCATCCAGAAATTCGAAGCTGGCAGTGAATGGCGATACGAGATTGCTCAGGTCCCATTTGTCGTTCGAACTCAACGTCCGGCGGAAAGCGGCGAGAAGATAGTAAAGACGTTCCACGAGACGACGGTATGTGATGTTTTCTTTCCCTTATTTCGTGTGAGAAATGGACGAATCTTGTCACGACACACATGATATCACACCCTTGCCCTCCCCCCTTCTCTCTCTCTCTCTCTCCGCGTCGGCGTGGCACCGCTGACCACGCTGCGTTTGAATTTGTTTCCAACAGGGCGAAGAGCTCCTCAGCCACCAAACCAGGACGGGGCTTGTCTTCAGTACCATCTCTGCCGACGCCCCGTCGTTCGACGAATACTTTCCGGGTCTGGAGCAGCTGCTTGACCGGCACGACTTCACGCAACGGCCTCACCGCAGGGTACTCAGCTACCCAGGGAAGTACAACTGGAAGACCATGATGGACGGGTTCCAGGAGTGTCTGCACTGCCAGTTCGCCCATCCCGGTCTTTCCAGGCTGTACCCGCCCACGTTCTACCGGGTCGTCAACCACCCGAACTGGTCTCAGCACTTCTCCAACCCGGACCGCGACGACGACGGGCTCTTCCTGTACTTCTTCCCCACCACGACGCTGAACATGTACAACGGCGGCATGTCTACGTTTCGCGTCTGCCCTTCCTCCGCGGACCCCGGCGTGTCCAGAATGGAGTACGACTACTACCACGAGCTGACCGGGGAGAAGTTCGAAGACTACTATCGCTTTGTCCGCGAGGTGGCCGACGAAGACCACCAGCTCTGCGAGTTCACCCAGTCGAATCTCGACAAGGGGATTTATTCCGAGGGATATCTGAACCCGGAGAAAGAGGTCGGAGTCATTCGTAAGTAGTCTACTCTGATGGTGTCCCGCAGTCGTCGAACATGGAACTAATCAAGTGACACGCCCCCCCGAAAACCAGACTACCAGCGACAGGTTTTTGACATGGTTGCCGCACAACATCTGAGAGAAAAGGATCAGTTGGTCGCGTGAGGAAAAGGAACCGGCAAGCAGGGCCGCGCTTGAGGCAGACAGTATCATGACAGGGAGCTGTCCGAGGAGTGGTCACCGTTGGGCAATTAAATTGGGCCGGGGCTGTATTAGCTACATAGGTCAACATGGTGAATTATCAAATTTGTTCATTCTGATAAAGTGTCAAAAGCATTTGTCGATTGTTCTCTGTTGCCTAGCGTAGCAAAGTGACAGATCCCGAGGACTGAGGCTTGCGCGCAACCTAGTAAACTCTGTCGCAGAAGGTTCTTCACCTTTTTTGTGATGCCGCTGACGTGCATTGACCCCCTACGCGTCCCTACTCGTCAGAACGTTGAGTTTCCCTCCTGTGCCATAGCTGTTACGCTCCTCCAACGAGATCTCTGCTAATAAATCCGGCGGTGATTATCCGTCATGCTTCCCCCGGGGAAGTCAAACCTACCGAGGAGAATCTCCACAAAAACCTTACTCAAAATGGAAAGAAATTGGAGAGCTAACGCCGCTGGCATGGCACTTCTCCCGCGGACCTTCCAGCAACCTTTCAGCAACCTTCCTCACCGGCATGACATTGTTCAGCCCGGTCGATAATACAAGAGACGTCGATGTCACAGATCAAAATCAACCTTCTCGCTGGCACCGTCAACTTTTGGAAGAAATAGAGACAGGGACAAACAGTCCCTTAGGTTGCTACGAACGGCGCGAACACTGATAAGGCGACGACTTGCGGCCCGGAACGACCTGAGATCGGAAGACGAAGACAATGGATTCGACATGGCTGAGGCAGCACGAGTGGCTGACTGGCGTCCTCCTGGCCACCGGTCTCTGTGCGGTGGTCATGCTCGGATCTCGACAGGTCGGAACCATCAACGTCAACACTGCCAGTTCCCGGACACCCAGAAAACTCCTGAGCGAACTCGACGAACACACGCCAGGCGAAGTTGCAAAGGTTCCAGATCTGCCAGAGGGCTACTGGACATCAAGGAGCCATTTCAACCTGGAAAAGCGCGCCATCTTCGTCAAGGTCTGTACAATTTAACAAATACTTCGGTCCAACAGACATACAAAAACCAGACAAGTTCGTCAAAAAGAGGAAAAGCTGACCAGTGAGCATGCATGATCTTAGGTTCCCGTGGCCGTGGCACATGCGAGCGAGTTTGACTCTCCAGGGCAATATCGCGTCATAGACCACCCGGCGGGCCTGCCGCTGGTGCTCGTGCTAGGCAAAGACCGCGTACTGCGATGCTTCCACAACGTGTGTCGGCACCGCGCCTATCCCGTCGTCTCGACGAGACGAGAGGGGCGGACGCCACTCCTGAGTTGCGGATACCATGGGTGGACGTACGATCTCAAAGGTCAGCTTATCAAGGCGCCAAAGTTTGACGACGTGGAGGGCTTCGAACGGGACAATATTAGATTGCACCAGGTGTATACGTGGGTTGACTCGGAGGGAATCGTCTTGGTGGATTTGAGCAGGAATGCCGCAGTCGACAACGATGCTCTCGTCAGCGAAGGTCGGTACCGTAACCAGCGTGTCGAACGGTGGCAGGTTCCCGGGAAGTTTAATTGGAAGATGACAGGTGAGTAAAGCAAGAGAGCAAGGAAGCAAGCCAGCAAGCAAGGCACTACACCATTCGAGGGTTTTAATGGCCTTTACCCCTTTTCTCTCTTGGGTATCCGGATTTGGGTTGACCTTTTTCAGAGTTCGAGGATGCATTCTCACCCTTGTCTCTTGACGCCGCCAACGCTAGTTCGATCGTGGAGAGGGTGCTAGGGAAAAGACTTGTGCGGCTTTTCCAGACCCGTCAAGTCGACTACAGCCAGCCTTCTATGCTGTCAGCGCTGTTCGTGGAACGCAATGGATCCACGCGTCTCTTCATCAGCATATCTCCCACGGAAGTCGACCGCTGCGTTGTATCATGTACTCTGATCACTCCACCGTTCACTCCCTCGACTTCTTCCAAGCCAGAGGACGTGATCGGCGCAGTCAAATCGGAAATATCCACTTCTGTCTCGTATCTCGAGAAGACGTATCGGCAGATTGCCGCTTCAGACAACTGGTGAGCACGATATACTTCCACGGCGATGGGCGGCCTACCTTGAGTGATGCCTGAACTGACACGAACATATATGACACCAGCGTGACGAGTGCTGCTGCACATGACGAGTCGTTTGTTAAGATGATCAAGTCGCACCGCAGCATGGAAGTATCCGCTGGGAGAGACCTCTGGCTCACACCGATCACCACCGACGCACCAAGCGAGAGGTTTCTCGCCGCTCAAAAGCGTAAGTCTTGTGATGAACGATTCCAAAAAAAAAAGGGGGGG